TTCATACATATTTTACACTTTACTGTGAGTAAGGTCAAGTAATAACTAAAATATTCCATTACACGAATTTTTTAACACGGTATACCATAAAATATATAGCAAATGTAATCTTTCTAATATTATAAACTAGCTGTCGACTCTGTCTGCGTGGATATATAAAAAAACTTAATTAGTGTAGCCCATCCATCCATCCACATCACATCCATCTAAACATTCGCATTTATAATATTAGTAAGTTAAATAAAAAGCAACTCTTCAAGGCATAGATTCGAAAAAAATGAATAAATAGTATCCTATGTCCGTCTCCTGGCTCTAAGCTACCTCCTCACCAATTTTCAGGCATAACTGTAAAGTCGTTCTTGAGTTATAAATAGTGTAACTAACACCACTTTCTTTTATATGTAGATATAGATGCGAATGTTTAGATGTTTGTTTGAATATATCTCCAGAAATTGCATGGATGTCTATGAAAGCCATAGATGTAGAACATAGTCTGGAACACATAGACTACTAATTAAGTTTGTTTTTAATTCATCGCGAACGGAGTCGCAGGCAACGGTTTACTAATATTATAAATTGCTTATGTTTGGATGAATAGATGGATGTTTGTAAGAAGGTATCTCCAGAACGGTTGCATGGATCTCGATGAAATTCGGCATATATGTAGAACATAGTCTGGAAGAATAGGCTATATTTTTTTTTAATTCAGCGCGGACGGAATCACGTGCAACAGCTAGGATGTTTGTTAGAAGGTATCTCCAGAATGACTTAACGGATCTCAATTAAATTTGGCATAGCTAGAACGGAGTCGCTGCCGCCAGCTAGTTTTGCGTCAATATTTAAATTATGTGAAGATTTATATAAGGAGAAAGTATGACTTTACTTAAAGTCCTATATCCCCGTGGTGGGACAGAGGGCATCCACAGTGCGCCGCCAGTTCGTTCTATCTTGGGCTCTGTCTCGGGCCATGTCAGATCGATTGCCTTCATGTCAGCAGCTACTGAGCGCCGCCAAGTTTAAGACGGCTACGTCTTCCTGTTCCTAGCATCCACTCCAGAGCCAGAGGATTATGACTGGGATCCCGACGAAGCGTGTGGCCGGTCTATGACTTGCAGCGTTTTCTTTGCTGACTAATCGGCCAAGGACCACCAAGGAGATGGTATAGGAAATAATAAAAAATGTTTTATTCAATATTATATTTAAATTAAAAAAATGCTATTAGCGCGCCATCTGTGATATATCACGATATTGTTCTTCTTCTTCATCAAACTCGATTTCTTCATCATCAACTTGAGCATCCTGTAATTATATTATATACAAAATAAATTTGCTTTAACATCTTCGCACGAATCGGCCCGGCTCGCCCGGTGAAATACCACGACCACACAGAAGACACGCCTCAAGTAGAAGCAATTCCGCGTTTCGTCTGATGAGTGTGCGTCCCGGAGGCCTAATCTAGTTCTCTTTTCCTTCCCACCCTTTTTTTAATAGGAAGGGTTGGGAAGAGGAAGTGAACTTTCCGGATGAGAGGATGCATGGAAAGGGAAAATATTTTCTTTCTGTGCATCCTCTCCTCCGTCGATTAAAGGTAGGCAACGCATATGCAATTGTGTATGTCTATGGGCAACGGTCACTTCGCTATTTGAGCGATTTCAGGTGACCGCTCGCTCGTTTGCCACCTTATGATATATAAAAAAAATTGAATTTATTAGACTTGACTTAAGTAAAAAAAATGTTAAACAGTTTTTTTGTTTGTCAACGCCGCAATTTGGTTTACTGTCATATCTATCGTTATGAAGGATAAAGTAGGAATAGAAAGAAACAATTTTATATATATTGTTATTCAATTAAAACAATAATCACGAATTTTCGATTTCAAGTTCTATGAGAACAAACATCGAACATCGTAAATATTCATAATAGATTTTACTCAACCCATATCTAGTGAGTTTTCAAACTAATCTATCTTAAATAGACACACTTTAGGTATGGACCGAATTATTTAGGTTTTAATGATTACCTGATATTGTTGATACTCAGAGATAAGATCGGCCATGTTGCTTGCCGCTTCTGTGAACTCCATCTCGTCCATACCTTCACCAGTATACCAATGCAGGAACGCCTAAATTCACACCTTTTTAACAATGTTAGAGGCCAAAAAAACATATGTATGATGACAGAGGAGTTGACGCATAGGAAGGAGGAATATTCTATACTGTGCGTTTTCTTTGTAGATAAGGTAGGCAACGCATCTGCAATTGCCGAAGGGCAACGGTCGCTTCGCTATTTCAACGAATTCAGATGGCCGCATGATCGTTAATCACTTTATAAGATAAAATAAACTATTGGCAGTCAAGTAATTTATAAAATAAGATTTAAACCGGGTAAATCTACATATATAAAAATCAATTGCTGTTTGTTAGTCTCGCTAAAACTCGAGATCTAAACAGATGTATCATATCTTGGTCTTGAAATGTTCGTGGTCTAGGGTAGGTTTAAAACATGAGAAAAATTGGAATAATTTCCGGGAAAACACTAAACTCTGATCTCACTGACACTTAGCTTAGATGTAGAACATAGTCTGGAATAACACATAGGTGACAGCTAGTTGTTAATAAAAATCGAGCACATTAGGGAACGTACCCATACTACGTGACCCAATTAAGGGGGGGGTGGAAGTCCTTAAAATACTACGGTCAGGCACATGAGCCGGGGAGTGGCTCTGGTTTTTGTCACGTAGTCGTTAGTTGTTATTTTTTATAATAAATATTTCACTAGTAATTTAAGCATACAGTCTTATGTTATAAAGAAGAATATGAGCCAATTTTTTTTTTTCAATTTTTACCTGTGAAATGATTAAAAATCATAATTATGAATTACTACGTAAAAACTAAAGGACGGGAAGGGTCTTGACATGTACTACATGTAGTCACCGAGGGGAGGAAGGGGTCGAAAAACTAAAAAATAGGTCACGAAGTATGGGTATGTTCCCTTATTAAAAATATAAAAATTAAATACAGAATCAGTGGAATACTCACCCTTCTTCTAAACATTGCTGTGAATTGTTCTGAAATACGTTTGAATATTTCTTGAATTGCTGTTGAGTTGCCGATGAACGTGGCGGACATTTTAAGTCCTCGCGGCGGCACATCACATACTGATACCTTCAAATTATTTGGGATCCATTCCACGAAATAACTACGAAAGAAAATATACTAAAACTTAGATTTCAATGAAAATAAACAACAAAATATCTCGTCGTCATCAGCTCACTATACGTTCCAACTGAGGGGCTCGGAGCCTACCCTAAGTTAAGGGTGATTAGGCCATTAGTCAACCACGCTGACCAAGTGCGGGTTGACTTCACACATATCTTTGACTTTCTCAGATATGTGCAGCATCACGATGTTTTCCTTCACCGTAACATAGGATAAATGTACATATGTAAATCAGAAATGGAAAAACACATTGGTACATGGCGGGATTCGAACCCAGGACCTGCAGGTTACAAATCAAGTGCTTGACCCCTGAGACACTGACGCTCACACGCTCCCTGACAAAATATCTAGTTGTATAAATACATTGATTTCCTCGATTCAATCTGTGCTTTATTAAAAATGTAGTAATATAGTTTGTAATAAAGATTTTAAACGCGTTATTTACCTGGAATTCTTATTCTGTATCGCCAATATTTGATCATCAACTTCTCTCATCGACATTTGTCCTCTAAACATCGTGGCCACGGTCAGATAACGCCCATGTCGAGGATCCGATGCAGTCATCATATTACCCGGATTAAACATCTGTATACGACATCTATCGTTGAGTAGAGGAAACTAGACACTTGAAAACAGCGCCATCTTTTGGATAATCTTTCGATTGATAACAACGCCATCTATTAATTTTTAAGTTCACAGAAGTCTCGAAGGCCTAAGTGAGAATATGTGATAGTGAATGCTGATCCAGTGCCCTTGACTTCACACATATCTTTGACTTTCTCAGATATGTGCAACACGATGTTTTCCTTCACCGTAACAACATACGATAAATGTACATATGTAAATGTAATACATTGCTACATGACAGGATTCGAACCCAGGACCTGCAGATTACACCACTCTTTCAAATAGTTATTTATTGTAGTTTTTTAATGCATTTTTAAATTAACCCTAGGGGTTTCCTTGAAATCCTTTAAAGTAGTAATGACATTGTAAAGTGTTTCAACTGACCTGACTCATAAGTTCAGGCACGGTCTGTGCGCGATAGTTGAACGAATTGCGAGCCGTCAGCGGCGCAAAACCTGCATGAAGAAAATTTCAACTAATAGAGACAACATTCTTTTGATTGCAAAGACTTCAAATTATTGTAAAATTAGAGAAAATAGCTTTTAATAGAACAAAATACTCGAAACTGGATAATCGAGTCAAAGGGAACTAATAGGGAGATATTTACTCGCTTATAGAGGTTTCTCTCTAACCAGAGATTCTCGCTTATAGAGTTCAAGCCACCGGACAATGGTTCTTGCTTATAGAGATTTCATACTTATCTAGTTATAATCTAGATTTGACTGCACTAACAAGGAATAAAGTCACAAATCGATCCTGTATTTACACATATTTAGTTTCGAAACATCAAGAAACTTTTAGAATTATAAACAACTTACCAGGCATAAAGAAATGCAGTCGGGGAAATGGCACCATGTTGACAGCTAACTTTCTCAGATCAGCGTTCAGTTGTCCGGGGAAACGAAGACATGTTGTTACTCCAGACATCGTCAACTACAAAATACAAATCAAATACAAGTTTGAAATATAATCATACTAGCTGTCAGCTGCGACTCATAATAGCAGCCTATGTATTCTTCCAGACTATGTTCTATATGTCAAATTTAATCGAGATCCATGCAGTTCTGGAGATACCTTCTAACATACATATATCTAAACATTTGCATTTATAATATTAGTAAAAATTTATTAAAGTTGTGTAAAACGCCATCTAGCGAAAATTTCATCTTACAAATATTATAAATAAATGTGAAAGTTTAGATGAATGAATGTTTGTTTGAAGATATCTCCGAAACGGCAGAACAGATTTTGATGAAATTTGACATACATATAGAACAAAGTCAGGAAAAGCACATATGCCTCTTATTTAGTTTTTAATTCCGCGCTAATGGAGTCGCGGGTGACAGTTAAACTATATTAGAAACAGCGCCATCTATTATTTAAGAAACTATAATAATATTTACCGATATCAAATGATTAAGATCACCGTAGCTAGGGCTGGCAAGTCGTAATGTCCTGAAGCATATGTTGTAGAGAGCTTCATTATCGATACAGAATGTCATATCTGTGTTCTCTACCAGTTGATGTACTGACAACGTAGCATTGTACGGCTCTAGGACTACTTCGCTCACCTGTACACATTACAGAGTGTTTCCACATAAATAAAATATATAGGTTGTCCCAAAAGGTTACGTACATAGGAAGGGGTATGATAGGGGTGGTCACAAGGTTCACCAGAAAAATAAAATAAAATTTCCCCTCTGAAATCTTAAAATCTTTGTTAGTTGTGTTGTTTTTTTTTATTTAATATTGATAAAGGGTTATTGTATGTATAACATAATAGCTTTTTTTTTAAATATACTAATATTTGTAAGTCATCGGTTACAAAATTATTTCGCGGACACGGCCCGTCGCTTAATGAGCGTTTTAGCCGGTTATATATTAGTTTATGATAAAACATATGTTAATTTAAATATGATATCGAAGTATTTGATTGCTTTAGAAAGTGTCTATACACTGCTCTTAAAAATCCTTGTATAAACAGGTTTTTACACAACAGACAGCCAAGTTCACTATCTGTAATCATGCGAAGTCTATTTGTAAGAAAGTTGAATAAAAAAAGGGGTTAAAAGTTAGAAAGAGAAGAGAAATCAAAATTATAATATATATTATATTCACACTAGTACTATTATATATTCTATAGCAGCAGTTCACAACTAGTGGTCTGCAGAAAAGTATTTTCGCATAGTAGCTAATAAGATTAATATAAAAGTGGTTCCTGACAAAAAATGTTGGCAAACCCCTATAGCCTAGTAATACTTACCTTAGGAGATGGCACAACGCTGAATGTATTCATGATCCTATCTGGAAATTCTTCACGGATTTTACTCAGCAGCAATGTACCCAATCCTGACCCAGTGCCTCCGCCAAGAGAATGGGTCAACTGGAATCCTAATTAAAAAACTATTTAGTAATGTTCCATTGTTAGTTGCACTCCAACAAACTCCTACACTACTCAATACATTCGAGTCTTCGCTAATAGATGGATAGTTTTATAAAAAAACAAGCAGTCGCCCGCGACTTCGTCTGCTCGGAATTAACAAACCTGGTAGTAAATAAAGCCATGGATAGTATAGCTTCCCAACAGTGAAAGAATTTTTAAAATCAGTCCAGTAGTTTCAAAGTCTACTTAATACAAAAAAAAAACAATTCATTCACTCGTACATATGCAAAGTTACAATAATTCGTATAAAGCTGAAGTATAATTAAAGATTAGTTGCGTAGTTTTTGAGTTTTTCTAGAACACCCTGTATAGCATACCTTGCAAACAATCGCAACCTTCTGCTTCCTTCCTTATGACGTCAAGCACTGAGTCCACTAACTCCGCGCCCTCTGTGTAATGTCCCTTCGCCCAATTATTACCTACGAGGAAAACAATTTTGAATTCACTGAAATAGCGAAGCAACGGCTGTGCATAGACATCCATAATTGCAGTTTTGTGGTATCCCTTACATTAACGTAGGATGGGACTCATAGAAAGAGGATATTTCCCATTTCCCATCATTTCTTCATAAGTATAGGGTGGGAAGAGAAAAAGTACTAAAATTAGGCCTCCAGCTACAAGAAATTGCTTTCACTTGATTTCTGTCTTCTGTGTGGTAGGAGGTTGAAGGAAGAGGTCAAAGCAATGATGAATGAGGCCTAGTCTTACTTAGAGCAGTGGGGGAGTGTTGATTAAGGTCTAGTCTTAGGGCAGTTTCTAGCCCACAGAGGGAACGTGATATCCTTACCAGCACCGCTCTGTCCAAACACGAAGTTATCAGGTCTGAACAGTTGGCCGTAAGGTCCAGAGCGTACGGCATCCATTGTGCCCGGCTCTAAATCCACCAGAACAGCTCTGGGCACGTACTTTCCTGTAATTAGAAACCCCTTAATAAGTTATAGCCACCATAGATTCCAACTCAATACCATACAATCTTGTAAATAAGACAATCTTACTAATATTATAAATGCGAATGTTTAGATGGATGACTGTTTGTTTGAAGGTATCTCCGGTATGGTTGAAATTTGTCATAGTCTGGAAGAACACATAGGCTTAACTTTTGTTTAATACCGCGCGGACGGAGTCGCAGGTGACAGCTAGTATCGTTTAAATTATGCATTATCGTAATAATTGTCCATAGAGGGCGTTATAATTGGTTTTATCTTGTAAAAGAAATTGGAAAATTTCTACCAATATGACCTTATTTATAAAAAAAAATTTAAGGTAAGCTAAAAGCAATTAGTTGAACGTTATTACTGGCTTGTCTTAACTTTTAAATATAGTTTTCTTATTAATATTCAGCCACTGGCCGCTAGATGGCGCTTACAAATTATAGAGTAATAATATTGTTTTATTTACCGGACGATGCTTCATTGTAGTAAACATTAATCCTCTCTTGCTGCAGTGGATTTTCACCATTGTAATAACCCGATGGATCGACGCCATGCTCGTCTGATATTATCTCCCAGAACTGAAAAAACACAAGATAAATGAAAAATCATAGAAATACTAACCTCAAAAAAACATATCGTCATCCCTATCTTTCATATATAATAAAACAGAGACAATAATATGTTTTAAAAGATTTTTGTAGAAACTCACGATAATTGGTCAATCTAATAAGCCACATTTGACATATGCAAATAGCAACACTGGCGAAATTTACCACAAAAAAAAAAACAAAAAAGAAATCTGGATGTCTTTGCTTCACTTTTTTGTTCTTATATATCTATGGTACGTAGTATACTATTATATTATTTTAACAGTGGTAGAGCCCGCTTTAACATCTTCCCACGAATTTTCTCGTCTCGCCCGGTGAAATACCACGACCACACAGAAGACAGGCGTCAAGTGGAAGCAATTCTACTTACAGTCTAATGAGTGTGCGTCCCGGAGGCCTAATTTAGTCCTCTTTTCCTTCCTACCCTTTTTCTTATAAGGAAAGGATGGGAAGTGGAAGTGGACTTTCCGGATCAGACGATGCATGGAAAGGGATGATATTTTCTTTCTATACATCCTCTCTGACGATGAAATGCAACGCATATGCAATTGCGTATGTCTATGGGCAACGGTCACTTCGCTATTCCAGCGATTTTAGGTGACCGCTCACTCGTTTGCCACCTTATGATATAAAAAGAAACTAGTAAACATAATTCGAACATAAATGTCAGCAATTTACGAAAGAATGAGACTCTACAAGTTTCACAAAGAATAAGAGAGACGACTATATTTTTATCGGATTGTTTCGGTATTGACCGCGATTACTTTTTAATAAAAAAACTATCCGTGAACTTTCTCACAACCTTCAACGTAGTATGTCATTGCCCTCAGGTTAAACAGAGCTTGTCCAAAGAAACTGAGAAATGTAATACAAATTACTCATGCAACATTGTTCTTAAACTTTATAACAATTATGATGTACTTTAATATAATACTAGCCGTCGGACGTGACTACGTCCGCGTGGATATATAATAAACTTAATTAGTGTAGCCCACCCATCCATCCACATCACATCCATGTAAACATTCGCATTTATAATATTAGTAAGAAAAATAAGAATAAATAGTATCCTATGTCCGTCTCCTGTCTCTAAGCTACCTCCTCACCAATTTTCAGGCATATCGGTAAAGCCGTTCTTGAGTTATAAATAGTGTAACTAACACGACTTTCTTTTATATATATAGATTTAAATGTTATTTACTTCATAGTAAAATTAAACAGTTTTTATCTAATTAAAAATTTCATTTTAGAAAAAAAAAATTTAATTGTGCTGTTAGTTTCTCATTTGACATGTCAAATGAACGCGGGAAAGATTTTGACAATTGAATTAATGTAATTCAAAATGTCATCGAGCGTTATTTATAAATATAATTGTTGTATTAACATTACAATCGACGTATAAGTAAATAAATTGTAAAACATTTTAGTAAAAAATTTAAATTTTGATCTTTCAGAATTACGCAGGAGCAATGACAACAATAGTTTTTTTTTTACTTAAAAGACAAACGCAACCGTAGCCAACAAGACGAGTACTGTCAACCGCAACCACAATCTATTTATAGTTCAAAAACCTGACATCCGGGCATATCAAGTATTTTTAATGGCCCTTTTTTAGTAAAGTTGACGTGCTATAAAGTTTTTACAATAAAACCTTCTGTAACTTCAAGGATTCCGAACGTTTCGTTTTATTTATTATTCATATTAAAAGAAAGAAAATTTCAAAACCTACTTAACACAATTTATAGATGTTTCGGAGTACGGAATTACACAGTGAATTACGAAGTTTTATAGTTTTGGTAAGGGAACGTACCCATACTACGTGACCCGTTTAGGGGGGTGGGGGGAGCGGACTCTTTAAAATACTACGGTCAGACACAGGAGCGGGGGGGGGCTCAGATTTTAGTCACGTAGTCGTTAGTTGTTTTTTTCATAATACACAATTCACTAGTAATTTAAGTATATAAAGAAGAGTATGAACCAAATTATTTCTTTTTAAATTTTTGCCTGTAAAATGATTAGAAATCATAATTATGTGTACTACGTAAAAACTAAAGAGAGGGGGGTGTCTTGGCATGTACTACGAGTCACCGAGGGGTGGGAGGGGTCGAAAAACTATAAAAGTAGGTCACGTAGTATGGGTATGTTTCCTTATTACGTATAACGACTTTAAATATGGTCAATAGCATAGTAACATTATAATTTTTTCGACAAAGCAAGTCTCCTTAAAGTACTAAAATTGAAAAAAGGTTAAATATGCATCTAAGATTTTTTATTAGCAAAACAATTCCGTCATAAAATCAAAGTGCATTCAAATCTACATAACTCGTTTAAAAATCAATTAAATTATATCGTATCGTTTAAAATTCCGAAAACATTCTAACCGTGTGACAACGTTTACGGAAGTAAAAAAAAGTTAATTTTACTATAGATATATAAGTTTAATTAAAAAAAAACCTTCGATCCAATCTGATTTCCGCACTGGCCAGCTTGTACATGCACTATTTCACGCATTTTAAAAGAATAAATCACTCATTAAACAGATTAAAAAATCTAAATATGAACGTTAACACATAATTCTCAAACAAGAAATGCTTTAACAATCAGCTTTATCGAAACTTATCAATATTATCAACCCATTCGTAGCACTGCCTGAATAAGACTGATAAAAATTGTGAAATCCTTTGAGCTGCCAATACTATAGAAATGTTAAAAAGTACAGGTCAATTAATAATGGTTGTTATAACAATTGAAAGAGTGTGATTCAATCAGTTACGTGTTTGTTTTTTGATAAATATTTAGGTGTGTTATTCATTTATCAATGAGTATTGTAATTTGATTATTATCCTATTGTTTCCATTGCGTATGGCATTTTTATTAAGCTGACAAAGGGATTTTTGTGCATTGCAAAAAATAATGACACAGCAAACATATCAGTATTACATTTAATAAAATGATCGATAAAATAATCGTACGATATATATTTAAAGAATTTACGTATAAATTCCATTTCCAACTTTAAGAAGACGTACATATGTTTTGAATATTATATTAAATTTTATTTTATGTTATAATTTAGTTATTTGCTATTTGCAAATGTCTAATTTAAAAAAATAATAAATTTTGCCCTAGTAATTTTTAATTATATTTAATTTGATTTTAATTGTAAAAATAAAGTTTACGGACGAAAAACTGCGGACGCTGTCAATAAGACATTTGACAATGACGTTTTGAGATGTTTTATAAATTATACAGAGATTATTTTTATTTAATTTACTAAAATTATGATTTTATTAATTTAAATGTTAAATGATACAATTAAAATTTTTAGTATATTCATCAATAAGAATGAGTTATTTACAAAAGAATTTCTTAATTACGTTTACACTTGAAACATGAAACTACTAAGTATATTACTAACAATTTTACTATGTTTATCAGCAATTATTGGTGATTATGTTGTGTTTAGATCAAAATACTCTGAATCACAAGTATTTCGTGCATTTTCGGACAGCAGTGTTCACGCAATTATCGGTTTAATATCGGGAATGTTATTTTTTACTTACGACATTGGTCTGACTACACAAGCAAGAATTTATAATGTAATTTTCTGTACAATACTCTCATCTTTAATAGACATTGATCATTTTATTGCTGCAAGATCTTTTAAATTAAAGGTAATTATGAATATTTACATTTTATCGCTTTTTTTCATCATCAGTCTTCTACACGTATTCATTTACAAGAGGTGTGTAAATTGGCTCTGAACTGTGGTGATGTGGCTCAACAACTATATTGGCATCTAGTATCTCCAATCCTCTACAATTATGTGAGTTTATAAACAGTGGTAGGGGCTTTAACATCTTTGCACAAATTGGACAGTTTGCCTGGTGCAATACCACAACCACACAGAAGATACGCCTCAAGTGCGAAGCTATTCCAACTACAGTCTGATGAGTGTGTGTATTGGAGACCTAATTTTAGTCCTCTTTCCCTTCCCATCCTTTTTATAAGGAAAGGATGGGTGATGGAAGTGGATTATCTTTCTGTTCATCCCCTCTGTTGATTAAAGGTTGGCAATGCACCTGCAATTTCATATGCCTATAGGCAATGGTCGCTTCATGATTTCAGTGATTTCAAGCTGATTGCTTGTTTATCTTATGATATAAAAAAGTGTCTTCACAGATAGACAACAAAGTGATCCTATAAAGGTTTCTTCCTTTCGAGGTACGGAATCCTAGAAACGATTTTTTTTTATATGTCAGTGGATTTGTATGTCAATTTAATATAGAAGATAAAACAATTTTAACTACTAAGATGTTTAAAGAGTTGATTGTATAAATAAAATGATCTCTCCTTATTTACAGGATGCTACAAATTTAAAACAACGGGGTATCTTCCATTGTACAACATTCTGGTTATTAATAACCATTTTACTAATAATTTATACTTATATTACTAAGAAATTAAACATATATATCATAACATATATGACAATAATAGCGTATACCAGTCATCATATAAGAGATGGGAATCGTCGAGGACTCTGGTTATACCCAATTGGTGAAACATCCCCTATAAATAAACATGTCTATGTACTCCTTATATGTATATTACCAAGATTATATGCATATTTATATGTTTATTTTAAACCAACATATAAAAATATTACTATACATTATGAATCATTAATTTAAAAGATATTTTCTTGAATAATTTCTTAATGTTACTTTAAAAAAAAATCTTTTTTGACCAAAAAAATATTTTCACAAAAATCTTGTGGTCTCTGTCTCCTGATATAGTAAATACTGTGTTTCAGGAGACAGCAACTTCTCTTATCTATTGCCAAAAAGACATATTAAATTGTATTTAACATTCATAAGACTTATAAACTAGGAACAGCTTAAGACACTTATGATCTGATATATAAAAAAACATAATTAGTATAGCCCATCCATCCATCCACATCACATCCATCTAAACATTCGCATTTATAATTAGTAAGTTAAATAAAAAGCAGCTCTTCAAGGCATAAATTCGAAAAAAAATGAATAAATAGTATCCTATGTCCGTCTCCTGGCTCTAAGCTACCTCCTCAACAATTTTCAGGCATATCGGTAAAGTCGTTCTTGAGTTATAAATAGTGTAACTAACACCACTTTCTTTTATATATAAAGATTTATTTAAATTTAATGAATATAACTATACTACCTGTCGCCTGCAACTCCGTCCGACTAGAGTTGGTATCCTATGTGTTCTTCCAGACTATGTTCTACATATGTGGCAAATTTCATCAAAATCCATTGAGTTGTTCTGGAGATACCTTCAAACATCCATCTAAACATTCCCATTTATAATATTAGTAAGATATAATATTAAAAATTGAGTAACACCCGCTGCAGAATCCCATGACTCAAGCAACCAGCGGTCAAGTAGAGACAGGAACCTTACTATGTATGTGATTTCTAGAGTTATTATCTTCACTTGCCTTAAAGATGTACCCGACAGTGTCTTTATCACACGATTATACGTGACTTAATTTGTTCCTAATTAATTTAAAAAGACATTTTTAAATCAAAGAATTGTTTAAACTTTACACTGGGGTGAATAGAAACAAAATTAAAAACGCTTAGTATAGTAACATTTAATAATTTTCTTTAACTAATCTCTAATTTTATCTGTATATGAAATATAAACAAGAGGCCAAAAGGCAAAGACATTTTTCTCGCTTATAGAGATTTCCCTTTAACTAGACTTTCTCGCTTATAGAGGTATCTCTCTAACCAGAGGTTCTCGCTTATAGAGGTTTCCTCGAACCAGAATTTCTCGTTTATAGGGGTTTCTCTCTATCCAGAGTTTCTCGCTTATAGAAATATCTCTCTATCCAGAGTTTCTCGCTTATAGAGATTTCTCTCTAGCTTGAGTTTCTCATTATGGATGTCCGTCGACAATGGACAATGTTGATACGAAAACCTTTTAATATTGTTTAAAAACGATTTGTTTTGTATTTATTTACCCCATTTTAAGTGTACTTTTGTTGTGTTTATTATATTTTATACTGTTATGTTTGTTATATATAAAAAGAAATAAAAATCATATTTTCGAAAATAGCGTTTATTATTTCAACTTAGAAAATCACGAAAAAAATTCTATACTACTAAAACATATTATATATATAATAAAAATAAAAAAATTCCAAATAATTTTTAATCTATCGTTTTTGAAATGTTCATAAAACTGTATACATTTAAGGGTTAATAAAAAACTTATATCGGCCACACAATACTTTCAATCCAACTTATATAACTTGAAACTTTCGTATAAACAGCTGGTTGGTCACTTTGACCACATTTCCCACCAAAAGATGTCACCCCCATGACATAATAAATACAATCGTTATCCATACTTGATACTTGTAAGGGTGATCCTGAATCGCCCTGAAAGGATTCAATAAAAACACTTAAAAACAGGGCGGGCGTTAGGTAAGGGCGCCCAGGGGGAAGACAAAAAAAGACGCCCAGGGCAAACACTAGAAAAAGGCGCCGATCTAAGAATTACTGTCTCGTAACCTTGCTAAACCTATAAAGGCATTGTAAAAAAAAAAGGGCACCAAAAAATCTTGCCCAGGGCGCTAGTAGAGATCCATAGAATGTCACCAATTATATGGCAAAGCAGATATATCCTTTGTCCCCTTCCCTGTCAGTTAACAGCAATGATTTAATCTTATCATCATCAGCGTTACGTCCCCACTGAGGGGCTCGGAGCGTACCCTAAGTTAAGAGTGACTAGGCCATAGTCAACCACGCTGACCCAGTGCGGGTTGACTACACACATATCTTTGAATTTCTTCTCAGATATGTACAGCATCACGATGTTTTCCTTCACCGTAACAACATACAATAAATATAGATATGTAAATCGGAAATGGAATTCGAACCCAGGATCTGCAGATTGCAAGTCAAGTGCTTAACCCCTGAGCCACAAACCCTCTTCTATTATATACAAAATTACCTGACACGTATCTTTTCCGCCGCGTATTTCTCCAGCGCAAATCTGCGTTTGTGAAAATCCATGCCACAATCTATTTATATTGTTTTTTAATAACATATCACACGTATCAGTGTTCAATAATGTTAGTGAAACTTTTTGGAGATCATTCGATAATTTATATTTACCTAAAAAAATATAAAAATACTAGCTGTCGCCCGCGACTCTGTCCACGTATATAGAAAAACTTTATTAGTGTAGCCTATGTGTTCTTTCAGACTATGTTTTATACGTATGACAAATTTAATTAAATCAGTGGTTCCCAAACTTATTTTGTCTACTGCCCACTTTGGGAATAAATATTTTTTTAGCGCCCCCCATATTTTCACATATTTAAAAACCACTATAACTTCATATTAAATTAATTAATTATTGTGACCTATATATGTATATTAACGGAGAATTGTAAACGAAACGTTTACTGTAACCCGCAACTTGAGACCTGCAGCCCACAAGGGGGCGTTATCGCACACTTTGGGAAAGACTGGTTTAGATGTATGTTTGTAAGAAGATATAATAGGTAGAGCATGGGAAGAACTGGGGCTACTAATAAAGTTTTTTTTTTAATTCAACAGAGTATGTACTAGTCTCTAAATACTAACGCGGATCGGTAGTTCCCCATCCCGTCGCATAGGCTATGGTATACTGTCCAAAGTCTGGTTTCTGCCATAGACAAGCAGGTCGAATAGAACTGTCAATGTCAATGTCAGCTGCCAACTCTAAAATAGCTATATCATGATATTTCATTGGTGGTTTGTATTCTGGATGTACATGAATTGTTTTTATTGGTACCTATAAGAAAAAAAATCAATTTTAAAACTATACGTAACCAGTGAGATTCGGAGCCTACCGTAAGGAAGGGGTGATTTGTCATTATATTGTTATTCATCATCATCAGCTCACATGTCCCCACTGAGGGGCTCGGAGCCTACCCTAAGTTAAGGGTGATTAGGCCATAGTCAACCACGCTGACCAAGCGCGGGTTGACTTCACACATATCTTTGACTTTCTCAGATATGTGCAGGTTGCATCAAGATGTTTTCTTTCACCGTAACGTCGGATAAATGTGCATATGTAAATCAGAAATCGAAAAATACATTGGTACATGGCGGGATTCGAACGCAGGACCTGCAGATTGCAAGTCAAGGGTTGAAACCCTTGAGCCACCGCTCTTTTTTATACAGGGTGGCCCATAAGTCCTTTGATATGAAAAAAAAATATTAAAATAAAACTAATTACATTATGAATTAAATTTTTATTTACAAAAAAAGCTTAAAAAACGGGAATTATTTTTTGAAAATAACATTTTCTAAATGTAATCCGTTGCGATCACGACACTCTTGCAAACGACGTCTAAAATTGTCGATGACTGCGCGGCACGTCACTGCTGAAATGCTTGTCATTTCTCTGCGGATGTTTTCTTTTAGGGCCTCAATTGATCGCGGGTTTGTGTCGTATACTTTAGCCTTAAGGTAGCCCCACAAAAAAAAATCCATCGGGGTCAGATCTGGACTACGTGGAGGCCAGGAAATGTCTCCTCTCTTAGAGATCACTTTGCCAGGAAAAAGTTGACGGATAACGGGCATAGCAGTGTTAGAGGTGTGATAAGTGGCCCCATCCTGTTGAAACCACGTCCTGGCATTAAAGCCTGAAAAATTTTGCAATTCTGGTATGAAAAACTCTTCGATCATAGCCACATATCGCTCCGACGTAACAGTAACTGCGCGCCCTCTGCCATCCTCAAAGAAGTAAGGCCCTAGGATACCATGGGCTGACATAGCGGCCCAAACAGTTACATTCGGACTATGTAAGGGCTTCTGATGCTTAAGTTTTGGATTGATGGGGCTCCAATAGCGGCAATTTTGTTTACTAACATTCCCGTTAAGATGGAAATGAGCCTCGTCAGAGAACATTATGTTGTTGAAGGAAGTAAACCGATTCAACATTTCATTCGCATAATTTTGTCTTTGAATACCATCAGTTTCCTTTAATTCTTGAACCAACTGAATTTTGTAAGGGTGCATATGTAAATCTTTCTTCAAAATCCGTAGTAACGATGTCCTGGATACGTTTAATGCTCTGGCGCGCCTACGAGTTGACTGTGTCGGATTTTCGCGAATAGGCTGTGTCACTGTGTCTATGTTTTGTTCCGTACGTGACGTCCTTGGGCAACCCAACCGCGGTTTATCTAACGTCGAACCGGTCTCCTCGAACTTAGCAACCCAGTTCTTAATCGTTTGAAGAGTTGGAGTGTCGTCAAAGTTGTGTAAACCTTTGTGTTCTCGAAATTTACGCCGCGCAACGGTTGCCGAATTGTCGTTTTTATAAAACTCGCGCACACAAAACGCACGGTCCGCTCCGGTAAAACGCTCCATCGCGACTAAATTCCCAGAAACCGAAGTTACTTCCCCCGCTTCCCCTGCACCGCTCACGCGCGCCCTGTTCGTTTTATTCAAATTTTACTTTTCAAAGGACTTATGGGCCACCCTGTATATTGTTATTAAATTTTGCAAATTAAAGACCCACATCCTGCTTACTAATGGAGTTGAAATTTATCACACGTGTAAATCACATGCAATATTATGACACAGTGCTAAGCAGATGATGTGTGTGATGTGCCTCGGTATGCGTGACATCGCTGACAAGATGCAGGAGAGTAGGCTGCGATGGTATGGTCATGTAAGGAGGAGGCCGCCAGACTACGTCGGTAACTTAGCGCTACAACTTTCCCTTCCTGGTCACATCCAGAGGCAGACCCAAAACGAGATGGAAAGATGTAGTAATAAAAGACATGAGTGAGTGCCAAGTCTCAGAAGATGTCATGGACAGAGCGAAGTGGAAGAGACGGATTGGGAAAGCTGACCACAACACCTTGTGGGATACAAGCTTGGGAGAGAGAGAGAGTGATGAAGCTAGAAGTTGGACATAGGAACTTCGCAATAAAACGACAGCACCAAGTTTGGGTTCATTAACGAGATTTTTTTTTTATATTTAGTACTTCTAATTAACGAGAACATAAAAGCTTGCTTTAAAAATGTATACATTTATTTTTGAATTAGATTCGTGTTAGTGCTTAGTTAAGTTACTAAGTAACAATTTGAAGGAAGAATTACTCAATAGACAGTGCTGATGTTTGGAAGAAGTATGAAAAAGTACAGTCTCAAATTGAAATTACATTATACAGCGTGTCCCAAAATTCAACGAAAAAACGGAAATTGTGTATAGCCAGCTCGATAACTACATAAATATAAAATACAAAGAGATGTCCTTACCCTGTCTTACCCTGCATTATCAAAAGTAATAAATGTATGTCTATCTCGCTCGTACCTCAAAATCTATGAATAACGGTTTTTTTTACTTTTTTGAACACTAAACTGATATATAAACACGGCTTAACACTCACGTATATACGTCCCATCGTATCAGGATGAGTGCTACTGGTACCAGTACCACTCACCACTCAGTTACACCGACAGTAAACTAGTCGGTACCGCTACTGCACGTATATACGTGAGTGTTTAGCCGTGTTTATATATCAGTTTAGTATAATGTCTCATGAAAGTTTGAATAATTTTTTGAACACTTAATAAAATTTAAAATATTCAATTTTAGTTCTTAATTTTTTTTAAGAGAGAATTATCGCATGTTTTATCATAATGTTGTAGCATTTTAGTATCTTGATGAGTTGCGCGTACTTTTTTAATTTAGTGCCATGGTACTCTTCATACATTTTTTTTACGAAATTTCAAGAAAACAGTTAAAGTTAATTATTTTTGTGCATAAATTACGAATGTCTTGGTCTATTTTTTTACTTCAATTAATAGATATGTTACTTAGGTAGCTAATACAAAAAAAAATTGCTGGTATATCTTCATATTTGTAGCCACAGTGTCTAATCGTATGGCGGACGTTATCAAATTATAAGAAAATTACAAAAGTTAATGTAACTTTTAAACAAAAAGAGATGGAGAATTTTTTTTAGTATTTTTCCCGGTGTAGTTATCTAGCTGGCTATACATAATTTCTGTTTTATCGTTGAATTTTGGGACATCCTGTATATATAAGGTAGAAAACAAGCAAGCGGTCACGAGGATTCAAATACCGTAATAAATAAACCACTTACATCTATGGGGGTTGCGCCATCTTCCACTGAGGTGTTCAAATTAAGATCCCCCAATCTGACTATAGCCGGTGTTGGATCTTTAGCCCGAGGGTTTCTGGAGCAATGTGCCGCTGTCAAAACATGCCTCGTACTAATAAGTGAACCACCACAACTGAATATGTATTGACCGTCTGTGTTCACCCAACCAACTGCAGCCTGGAAAAAAAGCCCCAAAGAACCCATTGGACCCACTGGAGTCCAAAATCTTACTAATAAATGCGAATGTTTGGATGTATGTTTGTGTGAAGATATCTGAGGAACGGCTGTACGGATCTAGATAAAATTTGACATAGATTTAGACCACAGTCTGGAAGAACACATAGGATACTTATTAAGTTTTAATTCAACGCGGACAAAGTCACAGTCAACAGCTAGTATAATAATAAAGTATTAACTAATTTGAATCTAACTTCAATATTTCATCATCATCAGCTCACTATATGTCCCCACCGAGGGGCTCAGAGCCTACCCTAAGTTAAGGGTGACTGGGCCATAGTTAGGGTGAGATAGAGAGGGTACGCTGACCAAGTGAGGGTTGACTTCACACATATCTTTGACTTTCTCAGATATGTGCAGCATCACGATGTTTTGTAAATGTAATACATTGGTAGATGGCGGGATTCGAACCCAGGACCTGCAGATTGCAAATCAAGTGCTTAAACCCCTGAGCCACCGACGCTCAATATTTACTCCAATAAATAAAAAAGGGCGCTGCAAAAGATAGCAAAGCGTAAACACTTACCATATGTGGAAATTCTCCTAGATTCGCCTTCTCTCCACCAACCACCAGTTCGATGTACGTATGATAACAATTTGGAGTTGACACCGACTTTGGTGACTCGTCTGGCACCAGAGGGGAGTAGACAACATTCTGTGTCACAATGCGACTGTATTCTTCGCATTCTGAGAAATAAAAAGTAAATCCTAAAGATGTCCGTGCAAAACTTCCCATTGACAAGGCTTGAGACTGCCCTAAGTAAGTCTAGGCCTCAGTCAACACGCTCCCATTGCCCTAAGTAAGACTAGGCCTCATTCAACACGCACCTTAAGCTCTCACCGACATTCCTTACTACTTACTCTTTCGTCTTATTACACTCACGTGGCTTTGACACACTAGTTTTATAAAATTGAAAATTCTACCTTGATTTTTACAAACAACAGCCTGTCTTTCGCCAACCCTACCGTAATGCCACCTTAAATCAGGGCCTGACTTAGGTTAGGGCGTGGGGCGATCGCCCAGGGCGCTAGACTGTAAGGGACGCTACAGCTTTGTGAATTAGTCTTATATAACCTTGTTAAACCCCCTCAAAAGCATAGCAAACAAATGTGGGCGCCGTAAAAATATCGCTCACGGCGCTAGACCTAAAACTGTTACTGTCTTTAATATTTCTATCGACGACTATAAAAAAAGATAAGGAAATAATAACTCACTTCTTTCACTGACTCTTCTATTATCAGTAAAATCTTTGCCGCTTCTAGAAAAAAAAAAATTTTTTGAGGAGATGTGACTACTGTTGGAATCTGCAGTAAGTAGGTTGAAGGTTGTCCGAAGGTCCTTTTCTACCTTCAATAGAGGGGACTTATAAAAACTGTCTTGGTTCTTGTACCAACCAATATCTAAACAATGAGCTAACAAGATGGGTACGTTCTAAGGAGGATCATGATGGTTGGTGGATGAAATGTCCTCACCACACTAGCCTGATCAAAACTACAAAATTAATATCTATATTTACGTTATAATGCGGAAGAGTTTGTTTGTTTAAAAGCGCTAATCTCAGGAACTACTGGTCCGATTTGAGAAATATGTCCGTTTATAGAGGAAGGCTTTAGGTTATATAACATTACGCTGCGACAAATAGGAGAGAAGCGTCTGTGAGAAATGTTACAAAAACGCGGGAAATTATTCACATTTGAGGACTTTCGTTGCGTGCGCTGCATAAACGGTTTAATTTACTCAAAAATATATATAAAAGAATTATTTCTTTTTAATAATAATAGAACATAATCTGAAAGAACACATAAGCTACTTTTTATTTTTTTTTATTCCGCGCGGACGGAGTTGCGGTCGACAGCTAGTTATAGATAAATGTCTTAGTAAACTAGTGGAAGGTAGACTAAGGAAAGAGGACTAAAATTTGTTATCAAACAAAATCTTTGACTCCGTATTACTCACCTAAGGGCGACAGGTTCAGCCGCTTGTAAAATACTACTGCCATCTCTGCAGCAGACCAGGACATTACTGAACGAATGTTCACAGAATGTAGGTTTGATACCGTTCATACTGGAAGTAAAAGCATTAATTTAGTATGTCGGTGGCTGAGGGGCTAAGCGCCTGACTTATAAGCAGCAAGTCCTGGGTTCTAATCATGACATGTAATATTAGGAAGAAAATCAGAAAATGTGGCAATGTATTAACTCAACACTAGCCTTACTAAAATATCGACATTTATGTCCCCTCACTACATCTGACACTTGACTTTGTAACGAAAGCGCGTCATTCACGCCAAAGGATTTTAATTAATAATGTCTAAAAGTACCAACGTATTTTTCGATTTACATATATATTAATCCGACGTTCTCACAGTGAAGGAAAACATCGTGATGCTGCACATATCTGCGACGAAATTCAGGTCAGCTTGGTTGATTGCCTAGTCACCCTTAACTTCGGGCAGGCTCCGAGCCCCACGGTGGGGACCTATAGTGAGTTGATGGAAAAAGTTGATGGGATGGAATCAGCTCTGAAGTGGTTCCAAAGTTCAGATCAGATAATCTTGAATCGTTGAGTCGCGGTTCAACAATTAAATTTACAGCGTATTGAGTCGCGAGAAGTTCCTGCTGCCTTACAGTTCATACCGAAACGTAAATCACAACTCTGTGTAGGTACAAATTAAGTTAACCGGTTAACTGATCCGCTTCACATGTGAACTGTAAGTCGATCTGTAGATCAATTTAAGTTTAGTTACTTACAGATAGTCTTTATTTGCAGCATTACATTGATCTGGTGGCGTACATTTTCCAAGTATTTTCGTATGCTCCACAACGCAGTCATCGCCTTCTATTGGAACAAACAAATACGTCGTCGACTTCTGATTTCCACTAAGATTCCTTGATATATAACATCGCGACTAACTTCCCAGTGGAAATAAGCACTAATAACATAAACTTACAATATATATTTAATTACCTTTTGCTTCTATAAGGACGTCGTCAAAAAATAACAAGAGAAGTAATATGTTTATATACATCTCTGAAATCAATATTTTGTAATATTATGAATTATCTGCAATAAAAAAACATAATGAAACTAACATAATCTATTTTATATATAGTTTTCTCATAAACAAAATTATTTATTTCAAAGACATCTAGAGAAATGCGAACAAAAAAACGGAACAAAATTTTAAACATCACTAGCCTTCTAATCAAAAATTAGTAATTATACTCACGTATTAAACTTTAAAATGAAAAGTAAATCAAACTAAAGGATAAACTAAACAAATTACGTTTACAAACTAAAATTAAATAAGTCACATATCACATACAGGCCCGGTTTTAACATTTCCAGCGCCCTTGTCAAGATTTTTGCGGGATTTCAATGTCGGGGGAAATCTTCCAAACAGAGTTTTCGCCATACACGACCCTTCAAATTTAGCCCTACTCTAACGTCGTTACTAGCCACATACAAAAAAATGGACAATATTATTTATCTCGCAATATTAACAAAACAACTGAAAGAAGTTATCAAAATGGCCGCTTTGCATGTTTGAAATTTGACGTATTTATTTATTTCTACATTGGATTTAAAAGATGGTTAATTCGGGACAACATATAAAGCAAGTTTATAATTAGATTTATGTATTTATACATAATCCTATTAACATAATAATACCAAGGGCATTTATTGCAAAAAACAAAACCGGTCTTTGATATTACGTATACTAGACAATCCTATGATGTTAGATGGAAATTATTTTAATAGTGTTCGCGTATTGATCTTATCGTCAAAATAAACTTCAGATTACGATTAATAATTGCTCATAACTTTTTATATTTATGTATGGGCAAAATTAACAAATGATATGAAGTTTGATTACGAAAACCTTTTAAGTTAACCATTTTTTCATTTAAAAAGATTTATTATTATGGTTCTGAAAGAGAAGTGGCATTTTTATAACCCGAATGCATCGAATTAGCCAAACGACTGCTCATGACATTCCGTAATTCCAAATACGTTGCCTACCTTTAATCGTTTTAAGGGACACCGAATAAGCATAATTTCGCCATTATTTCCGTAGTAGAAAAGGATGGGAGTGGAATGTGGACTAATATCCTCCAGAACGCACTCATCAGACTACGAAGAATTACTTCCACTTGACTGTCTTCTGTATGGTCGTGGTATTACGAGAAAGCCGGCCCATTCTTGCACCCAAATAACAGTTGTGGAATCTACTTCTATTATAAAATACACTGTTATCTTTTCCACTAGAAAAATATTAAAGTTTTTAAGATACTTTACCTTATATGTTAAAACAGGATGTTCACAAAATAATAATAGCACGTCTACTTGGCAACCGGTCCTCTGCATTACTGAGACGTTTATAAATAATGTTACGATGCATTTTTTTAATAGTAATGGTCAGATTGCTCAAATTTTTTTTTTTCGTTTTTCAATAAAAAGCTAAAACATTTTTTTTCGCGTGAACGGAGCCGCGGGCGACAGCTAGCCGGCACAATCCTGTATTTTATAACTAGCTGTAACCCGCGACTCCGTCTGCGCGGAATTAAATACAAACCTAATTAGTAGTCTAAGTGTTCTTTCAGACTATGTTCTACATCTATGACAAATTTCTAATAATTTTAATCTTCTAACAGCTATACATTCAAACATTCGCATTTATAATATAAGTAAGACTAAACCACTTTTTCTTTCATTTATCACTTGAACATGTTTACCCCGTAATGCCAATTCACCCCATTTTACGCTACTGGTTTCAACCCCTTGCTAATAACTTAGCTTCGTCAACTTGTGAACCCCTAATTATATTTTGCTGCATCTTATGACTCCGCCGGTAATGGCCCATGGACCTTTGAGACTCCTGAATCACTTTGCAAATGATGTTTTTATACATTTGTGATAAAAACACTTGTTATCGACTAGTAGCGATTCGCTTCGTATAAATATTTAGTTTCTTTTAAATAAAAAGCAAACAACAATTTCTTATATAATTTATTGCTGGCTGATATCTTTCTTCCTGACGTGAGGCAACTTGAGGTGTACAGTTCGTACATGTAACTTGAGCGAGTTGGATTGACTAAAGCATTTTGTACACTGCGTACACGCATACGGCCTCGCACCTGAATGGACCTGAGAAATCAAGACATAACAATATTTAATTAAAAAACCACTCCTAAGACACTACGGGGCGTGAGCGCGTGATGTACAAAACGCGCGGTGTACGAAGCGCGCGGTGTACAAAGCGCGCGGTGTACAAAGCGCGCGGTGTACAAAGCGCGCGATGTACAAAGCGCGCGATGTACAAAGCGCGCGGTGTACGAAGCGCGCGGTGAACAAAGCGCGCGGTGTACAAAGCGCGCGGTGTACAAAGCGCGCGGTGAACAACGCACGCGGTGTCAACTTACTCTGTAATGCCTATTGAGCGCTGGTTTCTGCGTGAAGCGCTTATCACACGTGTGGCAGGCGTATGGGCGGTCGCCGGAGTGCGTACGCGCGTGTACACGCAGTCGAGCGCGATGTGCGAAGCGCGCAGGGCACAGCGCGCACGCGTACGGCCTCTCGCCTGTGTGCACGCGCTGATGGTAACGCAGGCCGGCTGCTGACTGACATACACCATGTTAAATGAAGCTGGATTTGTAATAACTCCAAGCAGATAAGTGTTAAGAGACAACGCAAGACACCGACAATGTAACTATACAATTTGATTTTTAGGGTTCCGTACCTCATAGGAAAAATACGGAACCTTGTTAGGATCACTTTGTTGTCTGTCTGTAAAGACCCTTTTTTTGTTTGGTATATTATTTAAGATTATATAAAGTATTTTATTAAGAATATATTATAATTTTTAGCATATATGCATGAGTTTGTATGTAAATTATTTTGTAACATCCTGTATAGTAAACGAGTGAACAGATTTTGACAAGTTAGGTGTCATTCGATTCGTATTCTTACAAAGAGTGTCATGGATACAGTAAGTTCGTTTTTTTTTGGTATTTTTGTTAATAAATAGTGTTTTTATTTTATGCTTACGGTACATTTCTTTCCGCACATCTCGCAGACGACATTCTTATCGTATTTGAGACCGAGATGGACACGTCTCACGTGCGCTTGTAGTCGGGAACGCGATGTGAACTGACTCTCACACTGACAAACATATATGTTCTTACTAATATTATAAACGCGAAAGTTTAAATTGCTATTTAAAAATGGCAGGCGTTTGGGGCGAATATATTTTTTAATAGTTTTTTTAGTTTTAGCATTAGTTTTTAGTGATAAAAATTCAGATTATTAATAAATAGCAACTAGCTGTCGCCCGCGACTCCGTCCACGAGGAATAAAAAAACATAATTAGTAATCTTGTTCTTCCAGACTATGTTCTACATCTATGACAAATTTTATTAAGATCTATAAAGTCGTTCTGGAGATACATACAAACAAACATACATCTAAACATTCACATTTATAATATTAGTAAGATAGTAAGATTTTACAAATATCAATTGCTATTTAAAAATAGCAGGCGTTTGGCTCTAACGTATATTTTTTTTAACTATTAGTAATAATTAATAAATTAATTCATTCATCATCAGCTCACTATAGTCCCCACTGAGGGGCTCTGAGCCTACCCTAAGGGTGACTAAACCATAGTCAAGTTTCAAATAAATTAATATATATACATAATTCATAACAATACCTGTGTACATGTGAGTGCTGGTGTCGCGGGTGCTTCAGCTGCAACTTGGGGGCGAAGCTCCTTCATGTGACTACGCATATGTAACCCGCGATTCTCCAAAGTCAGTAATACCCCGCAAATATCACAAGAACTGGAATTATAATAATTCAAATAATCTTACTAATATTATAAATGTGAATGTTTAGATGTTTGTTAGAAGATATCTCCGGAACAGCTCAACGGATTTTGATGAAATTTGTCATACATATAGAACATAGTCTGGAAGAACACATAGACTATTAAGTTCTTTTTATTTCCACGCGGACGGAGTCACGGTCGACAGCTAGTGTTGAATTTAAAAAAAAATTTAGTAGTCTACGTGTTCTTCCAGACTATGTTCTATATGTATGACAAATTTAATCGAGATCCGTTCATCCACATCACATCCATCTAAACATTCGCATTTATAATATTAGTAAGTTAAATAAAAAGCAGCTCTTCAAGGCATCAATTCGAAAATAAACTGAATAAATAGTATCCTATGTCCGTCTCCTGGCTCTAAGCTACCTCCTCACAAAATTTCAGGCATATCGGTAAAGTCGTTCTTGAGTTATAAATAGTGTAACTAACACCACTTTCTTTTATATATATATAGATTATTATAAAGCTGAATATTGAATAAGTGATAATGGAATGAAAGCTTGGTTGTAGCGGATGATTGTAATGCAAATGATTATGAAAGCAAATATGAATTGATATGGCTGTCGTCGGGCGGAATGTCGTGGCGCAACTGGTAGATGCAGAGAAGAAGGGCGCGCGGGGCGGCGGATGGGGTCGGTAAGGTTGTCCCCCGCACTGCTGCCCCGCCGTCGGTGCAGTAGTACCAAACAATAAGTAAGGTTTGTTTTTTATAATTTTTCTTATATTTAACCTGCTATCATTTCTCATATGTTTGTATGATGTCAAGACATGTTTCTTCCATGCATTCACATTCAAAAATTGTATGTTGCAATCTGAACAGTATCTGTCCAACGCAGCTTCTTCTGTGTTATCTTTCTCCTGAAATAAATAGAATATCTCTTAATAAACTTAACACAAAAGTTATATCTTACTAATATTATAAATGCGAATGTTTAGATGTATGTTAGAAGATATCTCCAGAACAACTCAACGGATGTTGATGAAATTTGACATACATATAGAACATAGTCTGGAAGAACATATAGCCTAATTAACTTATTTTAATTCCGCGCAGACGGAGACGGGGGCGACAGCTAGTTTTTTAATATTTTTTTTGTATTTTAACGAAAAAACTGCAAAATATATATATGTTAGTTATACGAGCTTAATTTTTCAAATCAGATTTTTGTTATTACAGGATGTTTTTTTTTTTAATTTTACTATTATAATATTATAAATACTAAAATCTGAAGGAAAACATAGGCTACTAATATATTTTTTTTAATTTCATGCGAACGGAATCAGGGCGACATCTAGCAACCTATAATTTGAAGTTTTTTTTTATTTTTTATAATAAAAAAATTTTTTTTTTTTATAATTAAATAAAAAGAACATATAACTAACCTCTTGTCGTCTATGTGTTTTACTGATATGCATCAACAGTCCGTGTCTACCAACAAAACTGTCGCCGCATTTCACGCAGACATGCTCCGAATGTTTTTTACGCATATGCGTTAAAAATGATGTCGGTTTTCTGCAAAAAAAAAAACAAAAAAAATAATAGTATCGCTTTTTTAAGAAAAAGGGTCTTGTCAGGCAGACGGACGGACAACAAAGTGATCCTATAAGAGTTCCGTTTTTTTTCCTATGAGGTACAAACGCTAAAAAAATAAAAAAAACGACAAATTGTACTCCTATGACACTCTTTGTAAGAATACGAATCGAATGACACCTCACTCGTCAAAATCTGTTCACTCCTTTACGATACAGGATGTTACAAATTAACATACATACATGTGTAGAAAAACATCACCCTTTGAGTCTACAAAAAAAAATAACACTATCAAGTTCACAATTACGTATTTCAATTACATCTTTAACTACTCTATTAGAGGGTAAACTCTTTATAACGACAAAATTGCTTAACTTTGATTTAAATTGTTTTTCATATATTACAACACCCTATATAACGTCATATTCATTATAACGTCGCAAAATTCTAAGTCTTTTGAGCGACGTTATATACAGTTTACTTTGTATTCAAATAATCTTACTAATATTATAAATGCGAATGTTTAGATGTATGTTAGAAGATATCTCCAGAACAACTCAACAGATCTTGATGTAATTTGTCATACATATAGAACATAGTCTGGAACACATAGACTACTTATTTAGTTTTTTTTAAAGTTAGTAATAAAAAAAAACTCACTGAAACTTCTGTCCACATATCCTACAAGGATATGTATATCCATTATGCCATTTCTCATGATCCTTAGCTTGGTGTCTGCAAAGAGTACTAGAATTAAAAACTATAACATGGCCGTATACAACAGCTACCTTCCAGTCAAAGTCCTGACAAAATCTGTCCACACGTTCCGGAGACTCATCATCTCGCAGCAGCACCAGATTCAACCTCAAATGTGAAGCAATTTCAACTACAGTCTGAGTGTTCCGGAGGCCTAACTTAGTTCTCTTTCCCTTATTACCCTTTTTCTTGTAAGGAAAGGATGGGAAGTGGAAGTGGACTTTCCGGATGAGAGGATGCATGAAAAGAGAAAATATTTTCTTTCTGTGCATCCTCTCCTCCGTCGATTAAAGGCAACGCATATGCAGTTGCGTATGTCTATGGGCTAGTCACTTCGCTATTTCAGCGATTTCAGGTGACCGCTCGCTCGTTTGCCATCTTATAATATATATATTTTTAAGTAAAAGATGGGAAATGGATTTTCCAGATGATGCATGGGAAGGGAAAATATTCTCTTTCTGTGCATCCTCCATTGATAAGATGACCGCTCATTTACCATCTTAATCTTATATATAAAATTCTCGTGTCACAATTTTTGTTCCCATACTCCTCCGAAACGGCTTGACCGATTCTCATGAAATTTTGTGAACATATTGAGTAGCTCTGACAATCGGCCAACATCTATTTTTAAGCGCGGACGGAGTCGAGGGCGACAGCTAGTAATATAAAAAAATCCTAATAAGGGTAAGGTACACTTTCAAGGTAGACAATGATCTACCCTGTTCTAGCTGGACATTACCTTGTATGTGACCGATGAGGGCATTTTGTGCAGGAATATCTCCGGGCATGTGCTGACATCACATGGGCACGTAATTGTCTAGTACTTGTATATCTAAGTTGACATATCGTACATTCATATGGACCGCTACTCTGAAAATATAACAGTGGTAGAGCTCGCTTAAACATCTTCACAGGAATTGTCCTCGCTCAGTGAAATACCACGACCATACAGAAGGCGTCAAGTGCGAAGCTATTCCAACTACAGTCTGATGAGTGTGCGTGTCGGAGGCCTAATTTACTCCTCTTTCCTTTCCCATCCTTTTTTTTAAGGGATGGGAAGTGGAAGAGGATGAGAGGATGCATGGAAAGGGAAAATATTTTCTTTCTCTCTCTCTCTTCTATCTCGGAATCGGCTCCAACGATTTTCATAAAATTTAGTATATAGAGGTAAATCGATCTAGCTAGGAATCAGTTTTAGAAAATTAACAAAACGATACAAATAAATTAAAGAAAAATAACAAAAAGAACTGAAAAATATGACTCTTCCTGACATCTATTGGCGAATAATAATACTATTTTTGTGAGCAACTAATTACTTTAAGGACACAACAACAGATGGCGTTGTTAAATATCGAAAAATATTATTCATGTTTCATCATTTTATTAGTAATTCGTACTTAAATGTAATTTCCAAAAAAACACAATTCAAGAAAAAAATATCAAGCAAAGCTCATCTAGATTTTATATATAATAATGCTATATGTAATATAATTCTTATGTACTCACTTTATCATGTTTTCCCATATGATTACTAAAAGCGTGCGGATCAACAAAACCTTTGTAACATTTCTCACATTTGTATGGAGAATTTATATAATTATCTGAACAAGAGCGCTCTTTTAATTCCATTCTTTGTTCCTCTTCGGTTAATTCTATTTCTTTTGCATCCACTTTGTAATCTTAGCACAAATAAAATATACAATTTAAAAAAAAACTTTGCAAAGACACGAGAGCATAAAAAAAAATAACTTCGTCCGCGTGGATATATAAAAAACTTAATTAGTGTAGCCCATCCACCAATCCACATCATATCCATCTAAACATTCGCATTTTATAATATTAGTAAGTTAAATAAAAAGCAGCTCTTCAAGGCATAAATTTGAAAATAAAATGAATAAATAGTATCCTATGTCCGTCTCCTGGCTCTAAGCTACCTCCTCACCAATTTTCAGGTATATCGGTAAAGCCGTTCTTGAGTTATAAATAGTGTAACTAACACAACTTTCTTTTATATATATAGACGTGAATGTTTAGATGGATGGATGGATATTTGATTGAAGGTAACTCCAGAACGTCTAGATTGATCTTAATAAAATTTGTCAAGTCGTGGACGACAGCTATTTAATAAACAATTGTTAATTACCTTTATCATCTTTATTTCTCCGTTTAATTGTTTTTGTATTCTTCGTCTTTTTTGAACCTATAGCTATCAGAGGTAAGTCATCTTCTGAATCCGTTACTCTGTCTTGGAATGTATCAAAATTCAGTCCCGGAGTGATAGCAGAGTCTAAAAAAAAGCCATAAAATAGTAGACTGGGTAATAGCTTGTTTTAGCATTACTGATCACCATCATCAGCTCACTATATGTCCCCACTTAGGGGTTCGGAGCCTACCCTAAGTTAAGTATGATTAGGCCATAGTCAACCATGCTGGCCAAGTGCGGGTTGACTTCACACATATCTTTGAATTTATTTTCAGATATGTGCAGCATCACAATGTTTTCCTTCACAGTAGATAGCTTTTGCTTTGTTCTTTATTAATTTACAGTAATTTCTATATTATTTTTTCCAATCTTCACCATCGCAACAAAGCTCTACCATCAGTATCAAAAATTTGTAGGAAAAGCGATGCCCTCATTGCCTATAGCAAGACATAATTAGATTCTCTGCCGCAAATGGCGCGTTTTCGTTACCAAGTCAAGTTGTCAGATGTAATGAGGGGACATAAACGTTGATATTTTACTAAAAGTATTGTTGCGCAGATGCATCAGCATAGCGTCTGATTTTCTTCCTAATAACTGTAATTGCAGATGGGCTGCCTAACTAAAATAAACAGAGAGTAGAGGGACAGACAGAGAATATTTGCCTTTCTTATGCATCCCTTTTTCCTTCAAATTCACATACCCTTTCCATAATTTCCTTATAAAAGCTTTGGAAACTATTACAAAGAAAAATATATTTGTAGTTTTATAGTTACCTTCATTATTCATTGCATCCTCTTCAATTCCATTTTCCGGTTCATTTTTAACTAGATTTGGTATTAAGTTAATATTTGATTTAGAATCTATCTCCTCATTTACCTGTTCTAAATCTAAATGATAAATAGGTGTAATTTGAAATTCATCTAGATTTTTCTGTGTTTCAATCAACTGGATAAACTGGAAAATATATTTTTAAATGTTACTTTTATCACATATTCTTCTTTAGGTATCTCTCTGTCGAGCAAAAGTCAGGGTTAAACATTTGAGTTGCACTTGTCCATTCTCTGACGTTGCACAAATATGATTTCTTCCGACATTATTAAAACTAATTTGAAACAGTGTATAAAAACTTGTAGCTGATAATAAATTAACTATATGCAACTGTAGTTATTTATAAATAAATTTAATTAAAATTTTAATATTTAGATTTTTAAAGTCATGCTTTTTACAATCACAATATTCAAACGAATAAATGGAGAGAAAAGCTCAAAAAGCCAAATTATATAAAGAATTTTTTTTCTTTAGAACTTTGCTGGAAAAATATTAGTCTTGGTAGTTATCAAAATTAAATATTTTAACAAATATATTTAGTAAATATAGTACTTACCTCATTTCCTTCATCATTTATCTTTTCTAATATTTCATGAGACTTAATCGCTTGCTGTTGTAGTTTTGTACATCTTTTCAACCTCGCGTAACAAATGAAACAAGTTAATACCGGCTTATCAACAGAATAAATCTGAAAATAATTACTTAAATGAAATAAAATAGTTGGTACGAAAATTAAACCGATGTTCCTTTATTTAAATTTATATATTAAAACGTAATTCATGTACTTACATATCTATTTGTTAGTGTTTCGTATAATTTTTCTAAATTATTCTTAAGTGTAAACATAGGGACGTTTTTATTCAAACATATTCGACAGGTTTCGGTAGTCAACATTTTAAAATATCAAATTAATATTTAAATACTTAACACTACTTAAAAACAAATTAATTGTAATAGAAATAATTAGAATTTTTATAGAAATAATTGCTTAAAACTTAAAAATATCCATTTTGTTATGATTTTTTAACCGGCACGAAGACGCGGTTGCCAAAGAGCAATTGAATTTTTGATGGCTTATGATCGGTCTGCAAAAATATGTGAAATGCAACAAAAAGTAATTCCAAACAAGGACGAGCTCATGTTCAAAAAGTCTAATCCATCCACTGCAAGAAATAGACTATTTTGGTCTAATTAAGCACATTTTCTTTATAATAAGTTAAAAAGTGTAATGAAAAGGTACTTTATTCTTTGTCTACACAACTCTCATCGATCTTTTCTCTGAGAGAAACAGACATATGACATTTGTTAAATATCTAGGTTTAATATTTTAAGCTTTAACAAAAGTAAAATCCACCGGAATTACTACAATGAAGTAATATTAGATAAATATAAATGCACCCATGACAATATGTAATATAAAGACTATTTTAACATAAGGATATAAGGTAAATCATGTTTCTATGCATGTAGACAACTAGCGCATATAATTATCGTTTCGTACTCCATCAATTTCTTATTAGAATATCGATTTATTAATATTTCAAGTCGTGTAAGTACTTACTGCATTTGTACAGGATTTTGGAAAAGAAATATAGCGGTAAATAATGTTTATTGATAAATTTTCTACAATAGTTTCAGGACATATATATTTTTTCATTTGTTTATATTATAATAAAGTTTGAAATTCAATAGTGTTGATGGCTTTCAATTGTATTTGTTTTTTGGTCCCTTAAGGTCTTAAAGTTTTGTATACTTCTTCCTGGCTTTATCCCATCCCCCTTTATCCTGGCCTTAAACCTTTGACTTATTTATCAGCTCCCTGAAGCTACTTGGGAGAAATATTAAATATAATATATCTATATATATAAAAATCAATTGTTAGTCTCGCTAAATCTTGAGAACGGCTGAATGGATTTATCTTATCTTGTTTGTACAGGTCTAGGGAAGGTTTAAAAGATGGGAAAAATTTGAATAATTGCCGGGAACTAATTAAGTTTCACTCCTCGCAGACGGAGTCACGGGCGACAGCTAGTATGAAATATATGAAAGTTTATTTTAACCTACAGATATGATTATTATGTTCAAAATAATTTTATCTTTTTACAGATAAAGATGGCTCAGTATCCATTGCACTATGTGTGCGATTACTGCAGCCGAACGTTCACTCGCAAATACAATCTGCAGACGCACATCGAGAACTATCACATGAATTCATCATGTTATTGTGAAATATGCGACCAGAGATTCGGAAGCCCAGCTGGTTTACAATTACATTTATCAAGAGGACACAATAGATATGGCCAAGCATTTCCGGAATGTGATATATGCGGACGTATTTTTACACGAAAGCAAAATATAACGTCACATATGATTACAGTTCATTTACAAAGCGGACGGCCAGATATTAGATGTCATTTATGCGAGAAAACGTTCACGACAGAAAGAAATTTAAAGCGACACAAAAATCAATTGCATAACCCTAATGCTGAATATCCAATTTGTGATATGTGTAAGAAAGTATTCAAAAGTAAATCTGCTTTAATAACACATATCACGTCTACACATCAACATGTAGATAAAGATTCACTGAAATGTCAACTGTGCAGTAAAGTTTATACAAATAATAGAAATTTGAAAAGGCACATCGAAATGTTTCATGGAGAAAGAGGTGAATTTAAATGTAACATTTGCCCTAAAGTGTACACTTCTAATCAAAGTTTGAGACGTCATAACAAAACTATGCATAATCCGGAAACTATTCAATATAATTGTCAAATTTGCTGTAAAGAAATTTATGGTAAGGAAAATATAAACGAACATATAAACTTATGTACACAAAATGATAGTTCTGAATACAAAGAATTAGAAATAACATCACAATTAATGTTTAAATGTACAAATTGTGATAAATCATTCAATTTAGAACCACTTTTAAGGAAGCATGTCAAATCTGAACATACTTTTCAAGATTTTTATAATTATTGTAAAAAATCTTTATTACAAACGATGACACAGACTCCGACTAAAGATTATATATGTGAATTTTGTAATAATACGTTGAATAGTTTACACGATTTAAAGGACCATTTATTATTTATACATGAAAAATATTATAATGTTTCAACGTGTAATGTGTGTTTTACGAAATTTTCAACGAATGAAACATTTTTGGAACATCGTAAATTTTGTATACCACCACCGGATGTCAATTCTTGTGACCATTGTGATAAATTGTTTACCGATATCACCAGTTTAGACTTCCATGTGAAAATATTTCATCCCGAAGCTCAATCTTCAAGTAGTAATGATGAAAATACAGAGGGAAATTACAAATTGAAATGTCATATTAAGTTAAAACATACTAAAGAGCAAAGTTTTGATTGTCATTATTGTGGAAAAACGTGCAGTAATAAATTTTATCTAATATCGCATATTAAAATTGTACATAGTAATATATCTTGTTCTAAATGTGATTATTGCCATAAATGGTTTAAATCTAAAAGAAATATAAGAAGACATATTGAATACACACATCTTGGTATGCAGCGTCACAAATGTATAGAATGTCAAACATTATTCAAAGAGAAAAGAAGTCTCCGGAAACATGTTAGAATAAAACATCCACATTCAACATTATTCCCCCAATGCCATATATGTTATAGAAGATTTGAATCAGCCAAATCTTGTAAAGTACATTTGAAATTAATACATTCTTTAAATTTGTCAACACATCCGTGCGGCTTGTGTTCAATATCATTCAATTGTATAGAAGCTTTAAAGGAACATTTAAAAACTAATCATCTAGCTGAAGATGAAATATACAAATGCGATGCATGCAACCTACTTTTTAAAGGTCAAAGTAAATTTGATCAACACAAAGAGATGTATCATTCAAACATAATATGGACTGGGAAACGTAAATCTGTGCCCCGATGTGTTATATGCATTAAAGATTTTAGTTCGAGAAAAACTTTAAAACGACATATTAAGAAGTTTCACAACGAATTCGATGTAGACGATTTAGCCAATTATTCATGGCTTGTTAAAATAACTAGCGTTGATTGTGATGAATGTATAAAAAATTTTACAGATGAATTAAAAAATATTAATTACGATAAATATAACGAATCTTTAGAAACGGTTGTGTATAAATGTGATACATGTTTAACATCATATAATATGTTAGAATATTCAATTTTAAAACATAAATTGAACATTTCAACTAAAGGTAAGATGATTATGAGTGAATTTTGTACAGCGGAGTTAAGTGAAGGTGATGATGAATTAAACTTATCACAGGATCCGGAGAGCACAACTGATTAACATAAAGACTGAAATTGTATCTCCTTAGTTTGTTTAGAATTAAGATTCATGTAAGGATATGTTTATTATACCTATTATGCTTATACATTAATAAAGTAATATACTATTAGTGTTGTTATTATTCTTACGGTGAAGGAAAACATCGTGATGCAACCTGCACATATTTGAGAAGAAATTAAAAGATATGTGTGAAGTCAACCCGCACTTGACCAGCGTGGTTGATTATGGCCTTATCACCCTTAACTTAGGGTAGGCTCCGAGCCCCTCGGTGATGACGTATAGTGAGCTGATGATGATAAGTGTTGTTATTAATTTACCAAATAAAATTATCGAGATTTGACAAATACAGTATGTAAGCCTTCTTACTAATATAAATGAGAAAGCTTAGATGGATGGATGTTTGTTAGAAGATATCTCCAAATTGGCTGAATGTATCTCACTGAAATTTGGTATACATGCAGAACATATTCTGGAAGAACACATAGGCTTATAAGAAATTCAAAGATATGTGTGAAGTCAACCAACCCGCACTTGGCCAGCGTGGTTGACTATGGCCTAATCACCCTTAACTTAGGGTAGGCTCCGAGCCATTCGGTGGGGACGTATAGCGAGCTGATGATGATGATGACACAGATAGTCGCGGGAAATAGCTAGTTATTAATATAACCAATGACATACTAATCTTTTAAATAAGAATAAAAAGGTTTGTTTTAAAAATAGTTTATTTAAATTACTTACACTATTTTAAAAAAAGATTTACAAATTGAAACAAAAATACGAAATTTTTAGTATGACCGTAATGAATTGGCTTGTGTTTGATACACCATCGCTAATCAAAAGCAGTAACCAACCATAAGGTTTCTCCATTCTTTTTAACGGCGAGTCTAAAAGGATTAAAACTTACAAGCTATTATAGTAAAAAAAACTAAACTAACTAAAACTTTTTACTCTTTCTTCTAAAAACTGTTTTCGTTTTTAATGGTAATTTTAACTGTATTAGTTTTTTACTGCCAGAAGCAACAATAGATGCACCTGTAACTCTGATTTTTGTCGTAACCGTTTTCGGTTGTAACTTAATACCTTGGGAAAGAATGTCCAAGTCTAGTGATAAATTGTTTATGAGAAGTAGGAATATTATTGCATGACATAAAGATTTATCTTTGTATGGTGCTGGTCTGCTACGTTTACCGTTGTTGTTTAACAAAAAGTTTGATAAAACTATATTATTAAGTGTTGGTGACAGTTTGCAAGCTGTAAACATCTTTTTTGGTATATCCTTCACCAACATTAAATATAATTTAAGCAGAACTCCTGCATACATTCCTAATACAATGTGTTTTGGATTCTTTTTTGATGTCATCAAATTCGCTACCCATGAAGGTATGTCGGAAGCGTAGTCTTTACCTTCTACTTCAGAATATATCTTATCGAATTCATCTTCGGTTAAAATTTTATCTAATTCATAGATTTGTTCCGGTTTTTGTGCATCTCTGTTGATTGGTGGTATATAGAAATCATCTGAATCTGGATTTTCGTATGAAGATAGATCTAAATTGTCCACGGATACCTCCTGGGTGACATTTTGCATTTGTTCATTCACAATTTGTACGTTAACCTTTAATTTCTCTCGTTGTTCAACTTGCTGCTTCTGTTTTTTCGAACCGAATTTTCTACTTAGTTCTAAATTACTCGTTTCTAATAATTGAGTTGAATCCAAGTCAACTTTAAGCACAGGTTTCAACTCCGCTGTACCGACTTCGATTAACCTAACTTTTCCGGTGTTTTTATTCCTAGCAATTATTATTGTTTTACTCAAATCTTCTTTTTCTTCTTCTCCCGTATAAACAAAATCATTTATTTGTGTAGCGATAGTAGTTTTTGAATTTTCGTCTTGTAATAACACACATTCTGTTGGTTGAAATTTTCCAGTTGTGTAGCCATTTTGGAAATTTATAAGCATCGGATGTATATTATTTTTGGTGAAAACCTCATCGATTTGTAACTTGGGCATTGTTTAATTTATTTATGATTTTTAAAATGAAAACAAAACACGTGAAAATATTATACTATAGGTTATGATATTAGTAAACACCTCCATTCACGTCTTTCCATTTGACATTTTTCAATTGTCAAATTGACATTAACTTCCAAAGAGTATGAATCAATTTATGGACATAGAGAAGAATTTTAAACATTAAAAAAGATGTAACCAATTGATGTAGTTATCGAACCAAAACCACTATTGAATGGTCAAAATGACTTCAACACACCGCCCTTACCCAGGGTTTCTGACGCCAAATCTCTGTTTAAAACGTATTGTTATCTCTGTGTTGTCAAAGGTACTGACAAGGGTGACGATTTGTTTTATCCAGAGTTTTTGGTGTCAGGAACCCACGGTTAGTCACGGTCCAGTCCAAGAATTACTTATGAAGTATAATAAATTTGGATAATTGTCGATAATTGGTTACTAAGAGTCTTGTAGATTTTTTATACTAAATCTATACTAAGGAGGATCACTTAACCACTCTGAGTGCGGCAGTTACGACTAAACAACATATAGTGAAAAGTCGGATAATAAAAACCGATGGCACAGTACCAGTCAACTCATGACCATAACGCATGCAACTGTTCCGAAATATCGGGAGCTCAAACTCAAAATCGTGGTAAGAATCCTGTTTTTTTACGAACATAATCGTAAACCTCGCGACAATTTGTAGTTATATAAAAAAAAATCAGGGGTCCAAGTACATGACTTGCAATCTGCAGGTCCTGGGTTCGAATCCCGCCATGTACCAATGTGATTTACATATGCACATTTATCCGACGTTCTTACGGTAAAGGAAAACATCGTGATGCAACCTGCACATATCTGAGAAGAAATTCAAAGATATGTGGGAAGTCAACCAACCCGCACTTGCGTGGTTGACTATGGCCTAGTCACTCTTAACTTAGGGTAGGCTCCGAGCCCCTCAGTGGGGACGTATCAGTATACGTCCCCAGCTCACTAGCTGATGATGATGATGATACCCTAACTACGAAACTAGAAAACCTATCAAGGGGGTGCCTGCAAAGTGAAGAAATTAGTTCTATATTTCATGCAATTTTTATATTAGGCAAAATCTCAAAGTATGTAATGAAATTATTTTTCACCTGTATGTCTTTTTATATGTCCTCTTAAGCTTCCTTTGTGTGCACATTTGTATTCACATATATGACATGAGTATGGCTTTTCACCTGTGTGTGTCCTTATATGTATTTTTAAGCTTCCTTTTTGCGTACATTTGTATTCACATATGTTACATGAGTATGGTTTTTCACCTGTGTGTGTCCTTGTATGTATTTTTAAGCTTTTTTTTACGGTACATTTGTATTCACATATGTCACATGAGTATGGTTTTTCACCTGTGTGTGTACTCATATGATTTTTTATGTTTCCCTTTTGTGTACATTTGTATTCACATATGTCACATGAGTATGGTTTTTCACCTGTGTGTGTACTCATATGTTTTTTTAAGTTTCCCTTTACTGTACATTTGTATTCACATATGTCACATGAGTATGGTTTTTCACCTGTGTGTGTACTCATATGTATTTTTAAGCTTTCTTTTCGTGTACATTTGTATTGACATATGTCACATGAGTATGGTTTTTCACCTGTGTGTGTACTCATATGTTTTTTTAAGTTTCCCTTTACTGTACATTTGTATTCACATATGTCACATGAGTATGGTTTTTCACCTGTGTGTGTACTCATATGTTGTTTTAAGTTTACCTTTTGTGTACATTTGTATTCACATATATGACATGAGTATGGTTTTTCACCTGTGTGTGTCCTGATATGTATTTTTAAATGGCCCTTTTGTGTACATTTGTATTCACATATATGACACGTGTATACTTTCTTAGCTGCGTGTACTTTTAAATGCGACACGATTAAACGCTTTTCTTTACTTTTGAAGGCACAGATATCACAATAAAGAAAATCGTTTACAGAAGGTATTTTTTGATTGTTTGTATTATTTCTATAGTTAATTATTTTATTTTCATCTATTATATGTTTCTTCAGCAATTTTTTCGTAGAAAAGCATTTACCACACTGATCGCAAGTGAAGTTATTTGACGTTTTCGATGTGATATTAATTTCAAACTGTTTTTCAGTTTTAGAATCTTCTACATTTCTACCTTTACACAAATCAGACGTATTTTTTACATTTTCTAGAGCACTTGACATTGGTTCTGAAAAAGATTACTAAGATATAAATCTGATTCCATTTAAATCTTTAGAATTATTACAATCCTTAGAATAACTAAGTATCCTTTGCGTTTACTTGATTTTTAAACTATTTCTTACCTCGATGACATGTGAATTTACTTTGTGTACTCGATACAAATTTTTTGGGGTTATTTCTAACTGCAATTGCTGATTTAAATTCCTTTACTTTTTCTGAAGTATTAGGCGTTGGTACTGGAATATAAGTAAATCGTATTCTCAAAAACTTAAACTTTAATTTATATTATTCATTTAATTTTTTTAAATATTTACCACGTTGATCACATGCAAAATTAGTTTTTGTATTCGTTCCCGATATTTTGTCTTTACATTTACCATTAATTCCTATTTTAGGTTTATTATCTTTATCAAGTTTATTTTCTTTTATTATTTCTGTAGTAGTTATCGTTGGTTCTGAAATATGTAATCAGCGTCAAAATGGCGAAAATCAAAATGCAATTTGCAAAAACCAAAAAGAAAATCTCACCGGTTATTTGAGGCTGACAATTATAAAATCTCAAGTCGATGCCTAAACCATGTGCCGCCTCACTGCCGTAATATACCAGCAGCTCAGTATTGCGTGGAATAATTTTTATTGTGCTAATAATACATAATAATATTATTTAAAAATCATATTTTAAAGTCAAATCAATAAGTCATTATCAAACAAAGATAAATCGACACGCTAAAAAAATTCATAGATCTACCTTGCCTAGTCTATCTTTAAATGGAAGGGAAAGCACAGGCAAGGGAAATATTTATTTTTTATGTAGCAAAACCTGGTAAACGGCCACTTGAATTCGATAAAATTGCTAAGAGATTACTCTTAGACCGCATTTACAGATGTACTGCCTACCTTTAATCGACAGAAGAAGGGATGCATAGAAAGGTAATATCCATCCGGTCTCTACATTGGGAAGGGGAAGAGGACTTTAATTGGGCCTCCGACAGGCACTCTTATCATTGTCGTCTGTGTGGTCGTGGTATTTTAATGGTCGACCAGATCTGTTGTGCAAAATATCCTTATTCATTCCATTTCCTGTTAGACCCCTTCTCCGACAAATCCGCGTCCCGTTCCCTGATATGTCTCTTATTCTGTCATTCCATTCCATATTCCGTGAAAAGGACTTTTAATATTGAAAATGAAACTAATTAGTAAATCATACCGATAATAAATCTGTCCTTTATATTGAAACGCAATAAGATTCTGTTCGTTCCGATTCCGGGAGCAGTTGATGAATCGCATCCAGTTTGAACGGTGGCCATCTCCGCCGTCCACAACGTGGGACGGCTTGTTATTTTTATCGAATATCTACATTAAAAATTTCATTGCTAAAGCATCGATATACATACTAAAGCCCAAAATCAGTCATTCGGATAATAAATAAAACAGTAACTTACCTGCCAACAATAACTGGAATCTGAATTTTTCTTCACAACACCGCGGTAAGGTCCGAAGCGTACACCGTTTGGCAAAGTACCTGAACTGAACACTCCCAGACCCGCACCTAAATATTATCTGCTAGTAGTTGTCAATTCAAGCCCACTGTGGAAGCTGAATGCTCTAAGTAAGATTAGGCCTCATTCAACTTGCCCCCCACTGCTCTCAGTAAGACTAGGGATCAGTCAACACGGACCCCACTGTGTTAGGTAAGACTAATCCTCAGTCAACATGCCCCCACTGCTCTAAGTAAGACTAGGCCTCAGTCAAAACGTACCCCACTTCCTTAAGTAAGGCTAAGCCTCAGTCAACACGCCCCCCACTGCTCTCAGTAAGACAAGGTCTCAGTCAAAACGTCCCCCACTGCTCTAAGTAAGACTAGGTCTCAGTCAAAACGTACCCCACTTCCTTAAGTAAGGCTAAGCCTCAGTCAACACGTCCCCACTTCCCTAAGTAAGACTAGGCCTCATTCAACACGCCCCCCACTGCTCTAAGTAAGACTAAGCTCAGTTTACCATCGCGCTGTTGGTGCTTATTCTGGATGAGATCATAGATCCTATTTTTATTGACATACCTAGAATTAATTTTCAGTCGCAATTTTACTTATACTTATATTTTAATGGGCGCGAAATTCAAGTTTTTTCACCCTTCCAGCACATTTCCAACAAGAATAGGATGCGAATGGAATTGGATTTGCTGGCAGAGGAGATATGGGAAAGAGAAACGTCGTTTTTTAAATCCCTTCCTCAGATCTTCAAAGGATTTGGTACATATCTTATTATATTTAAACTTCGAATAATATTTAATTCTGATTTTTGCTCATACCTGGGATATAAGACCTAGCAATATGTAAAAACGCCTTTGGTATAGTGAGTGCCGCCCGAGGAACATATGGCGGATAGTTTGTTTTTTCTGGGACCTATGTTCAAAAAAATTAAAAATCTAGTTTAAGAAAGCACACTTTGCAAGTATTCAAGAATCTTTTTCTACCTTATATTTCTAAACATTACAGACAACACTTATCTTACTAATATTATAAATGCGAATGTTTAGATGGATGGATGTTTGAAGATATCTCCAGAAAAGCTGAACGGATCTTGATGAAATTTGGCATGGATGTAGAACATAGTCTGGAAGAGAACAAAGACTACTTATTAAGGTTTTTTTTAATTCTGCGCGGATGGATTCGCATGCAACAGTTAGTAGTTTATTAAAATACATTTTGTACTCAAACTGTTAGGAAGAAAATCCGACACTGTGCCGGTGTACTGGCGCAACACTAGCCTTATTAAAAGGTCAACGTTTATGTCCCCTCACTACATCTGACACTTGACTAGTAATGAAAGCGCAGCAAAGTATTCTATGTCTAGAAATACATATCATAAGGTCAAACGACCTACTGGTGTTCTTACTTACCTTTGTATCAGGTAGAATAAGTAAAGGTCCATGCTGAGGGCACACATCGTACACGTAGTCGCGGCAGCCGGAACAATCTGTAAGAAAAACATAATAAACAATATATCTATATATATAAAAGAAAGTTGTGTTAGTTACACTATTTATAACTCAAGAACGACTTTACCGATATGCCTGAAAATTGTTGAGGAGGTAGCTTAGAGCCAGGAGACGGACATAGGATACTATTTATTCATTTTTTTTTAGAATTTATGCCTTGAAGAGTTGCTTTTTATTTAACTTACTAATATTATAAATGTGAATATTTAGATGGATTTGATGTGGATGTGGATGGCTGTGCTACACTAATTAAGTTATATATCCACGCGGACGGAATCGCGGGCGACAGCTAGTTTATTTAAAAAAAATCCTCACGTAACTAGGAACCTCCAGACAAGAATACGGACACCATACACAACAGACTCGATATTTTTTTTAGACTACAGGTCAAAATAAAAAAAACTGACAAAAGACTAGCATAGAGATATTAGTGTATAATTCTGTGTTTCGTCCTTTTGTTATAAATAGCATATTTGTCGAAGATTTCGTCTCAAAAGTTGCCAAAGTATAGTAAAAAATCATTCAAAAAAAGATTAAACGCTAATGTTATTTCTTTTTCTTTTAATATTGTACTGTTATCATCAGAATAAGATATGTCAACTGAACATCAGACCAAACAAAACGGGAAGTAGGCGTAGGGTGTTAGATAAAATAATTTAAATCATCGAAGCCTATTTATGTTCGTCAACATTTTTAATGCTTTCGTTACTTACAAATGTATTCATCGAAACTCGGATCTTCAGGTTCAAAATAACTGATGCGCGGTAATTGCCTCAACTTCGAAAGTGCCATGGCGACTGAATAAAAAAAAGATGATATGCAATTGACCATTACATCGAGACAAATTTTTATACACAATTTAAAGACATTATCTTATTCTGTACATCATTTCAAAAATAAGCAACAAAATATTCATGTTACTGTAGTAACAAGGGATCTTTTGTTTGATTTAACGACTTTTACTATTTGCAATTTTAATAATTTCTCAGCGTTAAAATCAGTTATAATTCATGTCTTCAAATGAACAGAAAATAAAAAGAATAACACAAACAAAAAGTTAATCGTTGTGCAGTATGTGATAAATACTTTATACAACTTCTTAGCAAAATAAAAGATCAGCAAATTAAATAAAAATAAGTACTTACGTTCTTTTGTTATCTTTAAAAACTTGACCACGAAAAAGTTTTAAATTGTCACTCAAATCACAAATAAAGTTTAATTTACACTTTGGCGCCCTAAACTGTAATATTTATTAAAATGTCCGTCGAGGAAATAAATTATTTTAGAAAAATAACGGATAACTATTGCACAACTAAACTCATATATGATTACACTTTCACTCATATACCAGATGCATGCTGCCATCCTACTCGCACGAAATTTTTTGATTTAAAAATAAATCGATTATTGTTATTTCTATTATTATAAATATAATTTACTATTTTAAAATTAAAATAATGATTTAATACGAAGATGCCTTATAAGAGTTGGTCGCAAATCAGTTTATTACACAAAAAAGATGTTGTATTTATTCAAAAATAACAATGTTTGACGACCGCGGTAAAACTAGTAAATTCCCGCTTAAATTTTTTTGTTTTTAAATGTAAAAGGAGTTTGTAACAACGATAGGTGAATGGCAGTTTCAAATATTATAAATTTTTAATATGTTGTAAAAATAATTCGATTTCATGTTATAGGTAAAATCTAATAATAGTGTAAATTAAAGTAGACATGTAATTTTAAAAATTCAAAATTGATTAAACTAAATTCTTGAAATCTGATATATTGCTGTGTATCTTTGAAAAAAGAGAATTTTAAGAACTCGTTTTAACGTTTGAGAAATAAAACATGAATATTCAACTGAATTGGACAAATAGCATTTACTGTCGCCCTCGATTGCGTCCGCGTGGAATTAAAAAAAATAAAAAGTAGCCTATGTGTTTTTCCAGATTACGTTCTCACGTGTGCCAAATTTCATCAAAATCCGTTGTGCCGATCCGCAGATATATTCAAACATCCATCCATCTAAACATTCGCATTTATAATATTAGTAAGATTTGAGTAATTATGCTATATATTAGTAATATTGCAAAAATTGTTCTTCAAAACTTCAGAAAATGTCCTCTACTGTCAATTGCAAGACCCACTTTACAGTTAGTAAAAATTTTTTTTTTATTTAATTGTTGAATAAAATTGTATAGAGGTGTAGGATTTTTAAGGATCTACACAAATAAATGTACGAAATATGAAATCATTTATTTAAAGTTTTTTTTTATAATTTATTTATAAATCCTTACATTAAAATCAATAAATAGGACACGCAGACATAAAAGCACACTGAAATTTAACAATAAAGCAAGAGCCTGGATAAAGTTCCACAATTTTTTCCTTAGAAATTGAAATTCCCATAAGAAAAAAATATATAATCGATTTAAAAACAGGCCCAGTTATATTGTTATATTTTTTACATTCAGAATAATTTTCAAAATACATTTAAGAGTAAAAATTAAAGTAAACCTCTTTCACGCTTACCTTATATCTAATACTATATGTCGCCCGCGACTCCGTTCGCGCGTAATTAAAAATAAACTTAGTAGCCTATGAGTTCTTCCAGTCTATGTTCTACATCTATGACAAAATTCAGAGAAATCCATGCAGCAGTTCTGGATATATCTTCAAACAAACATCCATCCAAAACGTTATATTTAGTTACAGCTGTCACATGTAGAGTTCGGATTGCTTCTTATTATATTAGGATTGTCACACGATGCGTCTCTATAATGATAGAAGACACAGGTCACGTTGGAATGGACACGTGACACATTTGGAGTAGACACATGTCTCGTTGGAGTGGACACATGTCACGTTGGAGTGGACACATGTCACGTTGATGTAGACACACATCACGTTGGAGTAGACACATGTCTTTTTAGAGTAGACACATGTCACGTTGGAGTGGACACATTCCACATTGGAGTAGACACATGTCTCGTTAGAGTAGGTATATGCCACGTTGGAATGATGTTACTAGGGCTGCGGTTTAGCCCAGTCGCGTCGTGCTCGCGCACGTCTCGGCCAAGGTTTCTTGAGGTGGACATGTTGTACATGTGCACGCTGTTCGCCTGCAGTTGTGAAGCATTTGCCGCACGTCTCACAACGGTGAGGCTTCAAACCGGTGTGGATCTGGTGAAGGAAAAAGTATTAATTATGTTTTTTTTAATATGAAACACAAAATCATCTTATATATAAAATTCTCGTGTCACAATTTTCGTTCCCATACTCCTCCGAAACGAAATTTTTGTGAGCATATTGAGTAGGTCTGAGAATCGGCCAACATCTATTTTTCATCCCCCTAAATGTTAAGGGTAGTCCACCCCTAATTTTTTTTTAGACAAACATGCGGACGGAGTTTACTATATAAAATAAGAAGTGACAGCTTTAATCGACAGAGGAGGGGACGAACTACAATAGTATGTGTCTCCTTTCCTGTCAAATCCAGTTTTCCGTAACTTTTCACTTTACCAATCTCTGTAAACAGTACAGGGATCATATCTTTCTAATATTATAAATACGAAAGTATAGATGAATGGATGGATCTCCAGAAATTGCATGGATGGATGTAGAACATAGTCTGGAAGAACACATATTGTAGCATTCGTTGCGTTATATTTGGGTCGTTTACGTACCAACACGTGTTACCGGTCCAAAGGTCCGACATCGACTGACCCCCTCTCTCTGAACACTACATTTATGTACTACACTTAGGATACTAATTAAGTTATTATATTATTAAGAAATTACTCACAAACATATGTCTTCTTCTATTATTAAAGAATGCAAACCTCTTCCCGCATAATGGACATTCGTATAAAGGTCGTTGCTCACTGTGCACTCTCAGATGTAGTACTAAGTTACTGCGCTGCGTGAAACTTTTATCACAACTAGTGCATTTGAATCTTTTGACACCAGTATGCACCCACATGTGATCTTTTAGTAATGCCATACTCTGTAAAAAATATATATATTTATGACACTCTTTGGAAGAATACGAATCGAATGACATCTCATTTATCAAAATTACTTTAGTCGTTTACGATACAGGATGTTTCAAATTAATTGTCATAAAAACTCATGCATAAATATAAAATCGTTTTTTTTATTATTTCTAGACTTTATAATAAGGTAACAAATGAGTTTGTCGAAGTAACGAAGCGACCACTGACAGATGATTTTTTAATCAGCAAAGCTCACTATGAGTCCCCACTGAGGGTCTTAGTCTACCCTAAGTGAGAGTATGTGATAGTGAATGTTGGTCCAGTGCAAGACTTCCCACATTTGACATTCTCAGATATGTGCAACACGATGTTTTCCTTCAACGTAACAACATTAGATAAATGTACATATGTAACACATTGCTACATGACGGGATTACAACACAGGATCTGTTTACCTGGAATATTCTGCCGCACTGTTCGCACATGGCCGGTGTCTTCATTGCGGGATATTTAGTACGGTTCTTGTCGGGATGTTCGCGACGGAAATGTTGAGCGTAGAGACGTAAATCTCGTAGTTGTATACCGCACTGGATATAAATATATATCTTACTAATATTATAAATGCGAATGTTTGGATGTTTGTTACAAGGTTTCTCCAGAACAGCTCAATGGATCTTGATGAAATTTGTCATACATATAGAACATAGTCTGGTAGAACACATAGACTAAGTTTTTTTTTAATTCTTCGAGGGAAGAGTTGTACGCGACAGGTTATATTATAAGTAGGACAGCTTTGTTTGTTTGTATTGCAATTTTGTAACCGATGACCTACAAATATTGCTACATTTAAAAAAAAGCTATTATGTTATCGTCAATAACACTTTATCAATATGAAATAAAAAAAAACAATACAACTAACAAAGATTTTAAAGAAAATTAAAATTGCCTCAGAAGGTGTAAAATTTTTAAGTTTTTAAAAAATGCCATTTATTTTATTTAATATCCAGAGGGGAATTTTTATTTAATTTTTCTGGTGACCCTTGTGACCACCCCTATCATCCCCCTTCCTATGTACCTAACCTTTTGGGACACCCTATATATATATATATACATATTTAGTTTTACGAAGAAATGTGACAATTTTGGTATACCTGTTCGCAAGCGATGGGTCCGTGTTGTGGAGGAAGGTCCGCATCTCTCGCATGTACGAGAGGTCTGCGCTCTATACGTCGTACAGATCGCACGCCCCCTTCAGTGTTCATACTCTGAGAATCATTACGGATCCTGTTCCTACATTATCAACAATAAATATTGATTTAGAGATTTATTTTAGTCTTTCCCTTCCCACCCTTCTTATATGTAAATGATGGGAAGTATAAGGGTATTTTCCGGATTAGATGCATGGGAAGGGAAAATATTCTCTGTCGTCTTGTATGTCTTCTCTATCGATTAAATGTAACGCATATGTAATTAACAGTGGTAGAGCCCGCTCTAACATGTTCGCACGAATTGTCCTCGCTCAGTGAAATACAACGACCACACAGAAGACAGGCCTCAAGTGCGAAGTAATTCCAACTACAGTCTGATGAGTGTGCGTGTCGGAGGCCTAATTTAGTCCTCTTTCCATTCCCTTTTTCTTATAAGAAAAGGATGGGAAGTGGACGTGGACTTTCCGGATGAGAGGATGCATGGAAAGGGAATATATTTTCTTTCTATGCATCCTCTCCTCCGTCGCTTAAAGGTAGGCAACGCATATGCAATTGCGTATGTCTATGGGCAACGGTCACTTCGCTATTTCAGCGATTTCAGGTGACTCGCTCGTTTGGTACTTTATTATATAAACACTTACGGATCATCATCACTGCTATGTTTCGAGGACAATTTGAGATGTCTGCTGTGCGCTTCTTCTGATATAAATTTGACATCACATACTTCACAGTATGGACCCTCTAGGGTCATCTAAAATTGGATAATTGTATCAAAAAAACATATCCTATGACACTCTTTGTAAATACGAATCGAATGACACCTCATTTGTCAAAATCTATTCACTCGTATATGATACAGGATGTTACAAATTTAAGTAAAAAAACTATTTACGCCTTTTTAATAGTTGACGGTAATGCACAGAGTGGACTGACATCTGTCATTTTTAATATGTCAAATTAGCAATTTTAAAAAATAAAATATAATATGAAACATTTTTAAAAAAATAATTATTTTGTTATTTTTCAAGTGAATTTTAACGGGATTCGTTGCTTTCACTAAAGTCAACATAGTAAAATTTTGTTTTGTATATGTGTAGAATATTTCTCCCTATTTGTAGGATTATACTCCACTGAGGGTCTCTGTGTCTACTCTAAGTGAGACTATGTGATAGTGGTCCAGTGCGTGAGTTCATACATATCTTTGAATTTCTCAGATATGTGCAGCATCACGATGTTTTCCTTTACCGTAACATGGGATAATAAAAGAAAATAGGGTAAATAGTACTGACCGAATTATCATGTAGTCTATGTTTCTTCTTCTTATGTACTTCTATTCCTTTTTGACTAACAAAAGTGTATCCACATAGTTCACAAACGAAATCTGATACATGCTTGATCCGTATATGTCCCATATATGTCGTCAATTTGCTGAAAATAACATCCCCTATAAACTTTTACATATAATTTATACGTTGTATCCAAAGCCGAAACGATTTTAAGCAAATATTAAAGGAAAAAATGTAGTATTATTTTGTGAAGAATAAACTCAAAAACTACTTGATCGATATCTAAAACTATTTTATAATTAAAAAGCTACATTAAGTAACATAGACTAGATATTTTAAAAAGATAAATAAATTAAAAAAAAAAACACCTAAAACATCACATTTTTATCAAACTTTATGTACAAATAAATATTAACGTACTTATCAATTTTAAACATCCTGTATATATTAGTAGAAATATACATTATTAAAAAGAGGAAACTTAACCTCATAGTGCTATCTCTATCACTCTATAGACATATAACTAAGTGCGAGAGAGACAACATTAGTTAAAAAAAGAGAACTTAGCTATACAGTGCTATCTCTATCACTCTATAGACATATAACTATGTGCGAGAGAGACAGCGCTCTACAAATCTAATACTTACTCAAATTCGCAAGGACAATGCGGGCACTGGTATTTAGTACCGGCGTGCCATTTTTCATGTTCTCTTGCAACACCTCTGTAAGAAAGAGTCAAAATAGAAAAATATTTAAAGAAAAACTAAAAAAAATCAATTTCGATAGTTAAATCAAATAACCTGTTTCTAGTAACAAAAGGACATCCTTTGCAACTAAATTGTTCCGTATGTTGAGCTGTCAGATGTTTTCTTAAAGCACGCGCTGATTTCAAACGAGTTTTACATATAAAACATTCATATGCACCGCTTTGCTGAAATATTAATAATTCAATTAAATCCACACTTAGGGAAGCCTAACCCTAAGTGAGACTGATAGTCAATTTTGACTTTAGATATGTGCAGCATCACAATGTTTTCCTTCACCCTAACAACATAAGATAAATGTACATATGTAAATCGGAAATCGAAAAACACATTGGTACATGGCGGGATTCGAATCCAGGACCTGCTTACAAGTCAAGTGCTTTAACCACTGAGCCATCAACACTTTTAGAATTCAAAGGAAATTAGAAATATTTATGCATGGGTTCGAATCCCATCATATACCAATATAATTTTAAATTTACACTAGCTGTTACCCACGACTTCGTACGCTATTAAAATATACTTTGTAGTCAAATTAAGCGTCAATTAAACTAATGGTTAAGGTTACGAATTTCCGATCACGAGGTCGGGGGTTCGAATCCCGCCATTCGACTATTGTCGTAAACCATATCCTAGCACAAGCCTAGAGCTTAGTTGAAGTACAAGAAATATTAGTAAATTTACAAAAAAAAATCTGCTAATATTTTTAATAGCGTCGGTAGCTCAGGGGTTAAGCACTTGACATGCAATCTGCATATCCTGGGTTCGAATCCCGTCATGTTCCAATGTGTTTTTCGATTTCCCATTTACATATGTACATTTATCGTATGTTCTTACGGTGAAGGAAAACATCGTGATGCTGCACATATCTGAGAAGAAATTCAAAGATATGTGTGAAGTCAACCCACACTTGGCCAGCGTGGTTGACTATGGCCTAATCACCTAACTTAGAATAGGCTCCCCCTCAGTGGGGACGTATAGTGAGCTGATGATGAATATTTTTTATTTTTTTTCCGAGGAGTATGGTAACTAATATATATTTATATTGTTACGATGAAGGAAAACATCGTGTTGCACATATCTGAGAAAGTCAAATGTCTGAAGTCAACCCGCACTGGACCAGCATTCACTATCACATACTCTCACTTTGGGTACTCCGAGGCCTTCAGCGGGGACATAAAGTTGTTAATTACCTCTGTATGCCTTATTATATGAGCTTCATATCTATCTTTTATAATAAATCCTCTATAACATATATCACATTTATATGGAGCGCTTATATATGTTGTTGTATGCTGTCTTTTACTTATTTCTTCTATTTGTTCTTCGTATGTTAAAGATTTTATTGTGAATAATGATTCATCCAACCCATCACTGTGTTTACGTCGTTTCACATCTGTTATTTTATATCTGGAAATACATATACAGTGTGTCCCAATAGGTTACGTACATAGGAAGGGGGATGATAGGGGTGGTCACAAGGGTCACCAGAAAAATTAAATAAAGATTCCCCTCTGGGTATTAAAAAAATAAATGCCATTTTTTAAAAACTTAAAAATTTTACACCTTCTGGGGCAATTTTGTAACCGATGACCTACAAAATTGCTATATTTAAAAAAAAAAAGCTATTATGTTATCGTCAATAACCCTTTATCAATATAAAATAATAAAAAAAAAAAAAAATTTCTCCTTCCTCCTTTTTCTCCGGAGATTCCTATATATTTGCATATCATGTCTGCTACTGTATTTATGACGCTGACTGTACATACTGCCGACCCTCAATAGGGACAAGGGCAGGTTGATGATGATGATAAATGTTAAAGACAAAGGTATAATATAATAAATACCTATCCATAGTCAACATCGGATTCTCTTCATCTTTCTTAACTTTAGCTAGTTTCTTCTCCACTTTAACTTTTTTCTTTTTTTTCACCTTTTGTTTTTTTTTATTCACTTCACTCAGCTTCTTGTCATCTTCGCTTTCAAAATTACTATACTCATTTATATATATCTCGTTATCTTCCCGTTTTATTTCTACCTCCAATAATGGTACAGCTTGTACTTTGACGTCGTAATCTATCACGTCATCTGTGATGTCATCTATGTCATCTGCGATGTCATTTATGACGTCAGAGACTTCAGTCTTTAGTTCTACGTCATTTAAATGTATATCACAATCATTTGGTTCGTAATATTTATGTATTAAGCTACTATTTAATCCGTATGCATTTCTATTTATGATTTTTAAACTTTTTATAGTTAACTGTAAGGAAAGAAATAATTCAATTTATTGTCAGTATAAACTTATATCTTTAAATGAGCAATTCTTGTATATCTTTATCTTTATATATATAATTCTTCTGTGAGTGTGTATGTAACTGAACTTCTCTCAAACGACTGGAGCGATTTTGATGAAATTTTTTGTGTGTGTTCAAGGGGATCTGGGAATGGTTTAGATTCACAATTTTGTCCGCTGGACAATGTTTTTTTAATTGATTTTTAATTTATTAGTAGTTGTTGATTTTGGGATGTTTTACATTGGATCCGACAGACGGCGCTACCATCGCAGTGTCAAATTTTAAATAATATTCGAATTAAAGACGTGTAGACAGGACTACTTCTGTCAGGTCCGCTAGTATATATATATATATATAATTGGAATCTCGGAATCGGCTCCAACTATTTTCATAAAATTTAGTATATAGGGGGTTTCGAGGGCGATAAATCGATCTAGCTAGGAATCAGTTTTATCGATAATCAACTTAAACATAAACTTAACTTTTTCTATCGGTAACATCGAAAAAATATAATTCATATTTCATCATTTTATAAGTAAATCGTACTATAATTTTCAAAAAACACAATTAGAAAAAAATACCGAGCAAAGCTCCGTCATCCAGGTACTTTAATATACATTGTCAACTATCAAAATTTAACAACGTAACGTTGAAACAAATAAAAGAATTAAACCAAAAAAAAAGCAAGCTATTTTATTCTTGATAAGTAAAAAAAGTAGAGCTACCATATACCAATATGTTTTTCTATTTACATATGTACATTTATCCGATTTTATGGTAAAGGGAAACATCATGATGCTGCACATATCTGAGAAAGTCAAATGTCTGAAGTCAACCCGCACTTGACCAGCGTGGTTGACTATGGCCTAATCACCCCTAACTTAGGGTAGGCTCTGAGCTCCTCAGTGGGAACATATAGCTAATGATGAAGTTAAAAAACTAAAAAAAAGTAGTGGCCTGTTTAATATCTGTAGAAACCAATGTTTGGAGGTTTTAGACTATTAATTTCCAAATAACCCTCTTCCTCCCCCTAAAAGTAATAAATCGTTGGTAAGATTTACCAATACCAAAAAAGGTTGAATGTAACTCACATGTTTCTCAGTTTGTAATACATCTGTCATCAATCCCTGACTCATTATCGCCTTGTTTCTAAAACGATGACATGACATAAGTCTATGTGTACATTCCCAACACAACTTCTGAGGTAAATTGTCATCTTCACTCATCTGTAATGTAACAAATCATATATAAATATAATTAATAACAAAATTGGATTGCATAATTGAAATATTGAAGCAAAACTCACCAACAATCCAGTAATTTGTTGATACGGCACATCTAATTTATAATCTATTATGTGATAAAGCTTTCTATCCATAGCTAGACATATTCTGCACACCTGTAAAGAAAATATAGTAAACTAGTTGTCACCCACAACTCTGTCTAAACTAAATTAAAAAAAACACTTAATAAGTAGCCTATAACGTCCTTCCAGACTATTTTACAACTATGTCAAGTTTCATTAAAAACCCTTTAAGCAGTTACGGAGGTACCTTCAAACATCCATCATCTAAACATTCACATTTATAATATTAGTAAGATTGAAGAAACTTGAACAACACCACCGACGCTTTGGTATCAACATTGTTGACGACGCCGGCGCACCCCGCGCTCCTCAAGACACGCCCTAAGCGCAGTCGCAAAATAATACCATTCACCCTAATGAAGGACCCCCAATGGGCTTGAAATAAGTTGGTGCTGCCACCGGACTGATATACGTCAGTGTTTAGCCATTTTTATATCAGTTTAGTATAATGTCTCACGAAATTTTAAATAATGTATTAGTAAGATTATTTTTTATAAATCATACCTTCAAAACTGCTGATGAATCTTCATTAGAATTCTGAAATAACACATGATTTAAATAAATATCATTGATTTTATTGTTGTCTACCATTATAAGATAATCAGGTAAAAATTCCAAAACAAATTTTATATTTATATTACCTGTACAAGTATTGGAATTGCTCCATTCTTGATTTTCCTTAATCCACATTTGGTTTCATAAAAGTCTTCAGACCTAAAGTGTTCAGAGCATACAGTACTACGGTCTTTCGGTTCCCAATCCATTATACTGAGAGCTTCTATCCATTTGTTACGCAAGCTTGGTTCCCTTGGAAACCTGGGACAAAGGATCAATGAAACTTATAGTGAAACTAGCTTCCTGAGCCTCCATCCACGTGGAATTAAATAACAACTTAATTAGTAGCTTATGTGTTATTCCAGCCTATGTTCTATTATGCCAAATGACATCAAGATCCAACTTCTAACAAACATCCATTTAAACATTTGCATTTATAATATTAGTAAGGTTATTTATTTTTTAGATCCAACTCTACTACTACTATTAATATAATATTTTTTTTACAGAACATTGTGTGAATAGATGAACATGTAATTTGCCATTGTCAGTTGTAAAAAAAACCAATAGGCGAACACTTTTATTGATTGGGCGTTTTATGTAGAGTAACCAAATCAAAATTTGTTATTTTAGTGAACAAACTTAAATATATAACTGTAGCAACAAATATTTCATATAAATTGTTAATATTTGTTTATATTACGTTAAAAATACGCATAATAACAATTATATCTCTAGGTTATTTATGAATTAAATATTTACGAAACTTACATGTGAAAGGTAATTCCATGACTTTTGGTTGTTCGTTTCGTATCATTCGTACAGTTTTGTACACTACACCGCATTTTCAGTTACGCTTTCATACATTATACACAAATTATCATAAGAAACTTATCTGTATTTACAATTTTAAAAGACGTATTCGGACATATTTCTATCGATCATTTTTCAATTTTAACTCTTTTAATAATCTGAGATTAAGCTTATTTAATACTCAAATAAGTTTAGATTGTTAAATACTTAAGTATAATTATTTTGTTATGAACATATTTTTATTTAAAATGCCTTGAACTGACAGAAAAGTATGATTTGACAAGCTTGAACATTGGCTTCCTTTTACTGGATACGCCATTCTCTGTTTAAAATTTACATACAAAGAACTAAAGATTGTAAAAATAT